AGAAGGCAAGCAGTCTGGGGAGATTCTTATAACGTAGATGGTGGGCAATAAAAGTGTCCTACTACATCTAAACCTAGATTTAGGTTCCTGAGAGAATTGCCACCTGGAGTTGAGATTCAAAACACCTTGTCAAGAATGGAACAGAACGGAACAGAACAGAACAGAATAGAATAGAATTCTTTATTGGCCAAGTGTGATTGAACACACAAGGAATTTGTCTCTGATTCATAAGCTCTCGATGTACATACAAACAACAAGTGATAAATCATAATCATAAAATACAATCATCATAAATCATAAATTCTTCCTAGGTTGATATCTTCTGGGACGAGCTAGCAGTTTCTCTGCAAAGACTCAGCTTCTATGCTCAAAATCTCTGTGCCTCAGAGACCCAGGACGCTCAGCCAGTCTACGTGGTAAAGACAAATGGTAAGGACCAAGGAAGAAAGACGGTCCATATTTATCTCTTTCAGATTTTTCCTCTGGTTTCACTGCCAGCTCTTGACCTCCAAAGCTTCAATGCAAACCAGCTGTCAAACCTCTTTGTCCTGCCCTAACAGGAAACAGGAGAGAATGTCCTGAATGGTTGTCAATCTGACTTTAATGAAGAAAATGTCATTATTGTTTGAGGGAAATTCTCCTGATTTATTTTCTAAAGTTCGCCCAAAGCCTCGGAACACCAGAAAACAAAGAGGAGGCTGGAATAAAGCACGAAACACGGGTTCAGGTTACGAGATTGTGGGGATGACTAATTCCTTCTCTGTCGTTACAGGAAGAGGGTTTATAGGTGTGAGCCATCCTGAACCAGAAGCGCTGCAACATCTCTTTGCAACACAAAGCCAGATCCCACTAGCTTCCCGAAATTTGTTGTTGGATGCAAAGTCCTGGGATATTTCATGTATGTAGGCATCACATTTGCGTCCTTGTGTGGGTTTACCTCAGAGGTGGCCACCCTTTGGTGGTGAGTGGTCAGTCGTGGCATTTTGGAGAAGGGTCAAAGTGAGGGGTTATGCACAGTGAGCAGGACCCCATCACATCCATAGCCAGGTTCCCCCTCCCTGTGTTTTGGGGGAAGTTTCAGGGAGGTTTGGGGTGTCCTTAAGAGGATTGTGCAATGCTCGAGTCTATAAGCAAATAGAGGCAGTCCTCATCTTACAACAGTTCACTTAGTGACTGTTCAAAGTTACAACAGCAGTGGAAAAAGTGACTCATGATCATTTTTCACACTTACGACTGTTGCAGCATTCCCACGGTCATGTGATCAAAATTCAGACGCTTGGCTACTGATTCGTATTTATGACAGTTGCAGTGTCCTGGGGTCACGTGACCCCCTTTTGCGACCTTCTGACAAGCAAAGTCAGTGGGAAAACCAAATTCACTTCGCAACCGTTTTACTACCTGAACACCTGCCGTGATTCACTTAACAACTGTGTCAGGAAAGGCCATAAAATGGGGGCAAGCTCACTTAGCCAGTGTGTTGCTTGGCAACGGAAATTTTGAGCTCAATTGTGCTCGTACGTCAAGGACTACTTATGCAGGAGTGCCAATGTTGCGCCTGTCTGCAGCTCCTTCAACCAAAGGCAAGTTTTACCTGGAATTATCAGGCGCTCGTCCCAAAGGAAGATACCCTTATTGGAACACATGGCCAGTGGGCTTCCATGCCCCAGCCTTTCACTCCATGGCCCTAAATTCACTGTATTACTTCTATCATCACAATGGGGTTTGTGGGTCTCCCAGCTTGGACTGGCAGCAAACCCATTGTCTGGAGAGGGAGGTCTGTAAAAAGTAGTTAGGAGACCTCACATTGCCTCTCCCTGTTCAGTGGAACATGGCCCTTGTTGCTCCTTTTTGCAAGTTGTCTGCAAGGGAAACCACAACCCCGAACACGAGTGTACAATAATAAAATGTGATTCCTCAAATTGCATCCCTCTGTGAACTAAAATGCAGCTCTATTTCACGAAGGAGGTTTTTTGTTGTTGTTGTTCATTCAGGGGCTTCTGCCAAAGGTGGATTTCAATTTTCCCAGCCAGAACCTGCCAACGCTACACCGAGGACCACATTAACCGGCATCCTTAACCCAACGGTGTGCCTCAAAAGGCATGAGTTTCTGATGTTCATTGTTTCTAAAAGCCATTATCCTGTTTATGATGTGTAAGTACAGTTGTGAACTCCCACGAGGTGTGTCTTCCTACCTCCAAATGTAGGTCATGCTGCTTTTCATTACAATGAGAAGCATGTGTGAGCACCGAGTCATTTTCCCGTGCTATTTAAAAGAAATGGTGAAAGAGATTTTTTAACCACGCTTGCTAGTTTTGATAAGAGTTGCTAAGAATTTCTAAAATAAGTCATGGTCAAATCAGTGTCAAGCTATCAGCTATCCATTTCTGGTCTTTTCAACTTCTCCAGAGCAGAAGACTCTATTGATTGATTAGATTTCAGAATCAGAATAGAATTGGAAGGGACCTTAGAGGTCTTCTAGTCCAGTCCCCTGCTCAAGCAGGAGACTTACTACCATTTCAGACAAATGGCTGTCCAGTCTCTTCTTAGAAACCTCCAGTGATGGAGCATCCACAACTTCTGGAGGCCAGTCATTCCACTAATTAATTGTTTTCACAGTTAGGAAGTTTCTCCTTAATTCCAGGTTGTTTCTCTCCTTGATTTATATGTCATCTTAGAAACGTTGCTCAACTCTTCAGCCTCCTGGATCTAAAGCCATTCTCGGTGTTTTGTTCCATTGACTGATCCTTATTCTTGGGTGAAGTTGCAGATTAAATATTGGAGGAACATCTTTTGGGGATGGAGATCTTGTACACATCTGCTCCCTTTTGTCTTGTCTTTCTTCCTAGCAATAATTTATACAATACAAACCAAGATTTTGACTGGGGCGCTTTCCGCAAACTCGCAGAGGAAATGAGATTGGCTTCCAGCTGGACCAGCTTTTTCTTCTTCCTATACCAGTTCTATGATCCTGGCACTTACGTCTTGAGGCTGAGTAGCAATCAGCACAAGAAAATGGTGGGTTTCAGGACAAAGGCAGCCCTTGGAATGAGTATGCTATCGTCCTTATGATGGGGTGGGAGATTTATCAAATGGGATAATGGTTCAGTTCTTCATTCATATCGTTTTGATCAGCACCCTTCACCACGGATCTCTTAAAGGATGTGTATAATTTTTAATTTACTTACTTTGAGACCCAAACCATTGCAAGGTAAAACTAAACATTGAGTATAAAGACAGATATAATAATTACAGAGCAGATTTTCTCAACTTTGGCAACTTTAAGATGGGTGAACTTCAACTCCCAGAATTCCTCAGCTAGGGGGAATTGAGGTCCTGACATCTTCAAGTTGCCAAGGTTGAGAAACACTGCTGTGGATGGATGGATGGATGGATGGATGGATGGATGGATGACTGACAGACAGACTGATAGATAGATTGATTGATTGATAGAAGATAAATATAGGTAGGTAGGCAGGCAGATAGGCAGACAGATAGGCAGACAGACAGATAGAACTTTCTGTCCCTTTTAGAGGCAGACGTCAGGCAGACATACAGAAAAGACAGATAGACTGATAGATTGATAGAGGATAGAGATAGATAGATAGATGATAGATAGATAGATAGATAGATAGATAGATAGATAGATAGATAGATAGGACAGAGATAGGGAGATAGAACTTTCTGCCCCTTTTAGAGGAAGAGCGTAGCTGGTTAGGGAACACTGGGAGTTGAAGTGCACCCATTTTAACGTGGCCAAGGTTGAGGAACACTATTCTAGAATATATGACAACGTCACACCTCCAGATTCTGACTTAATTTCTCCTTCCCATGTGTTCCTTTTGAAAAGTATATCCGAATCCTGCCATTTGGTGGACAATGTTACGAAGAAGGACCATTCTACCCAACATCTCCTGGTTATGTTGTTCAAGTAGGCATCGCAAAGATCCCAGATCTAGTTCTGAAGCCTGATTGGCCGGCAATCATTGGAATAATAATCACCCTCATCTTCCTCATTCTCCTCCATCTCATGCTGATTGTAAGTTCAGACAACAACATTAACAACAACAGTGTTGTTGTTAACAACAATCAAAATAAATAAAATTGTGTGCATAAGTTTTCTTAGACTTTTTTCTTGCTTCTGTAAGCCTTTTTCCTCCCCAAATGTTGCAGATTCTTTGCCAAGCTTTTGGATGGGCCAGGAAAGCAAATTCCACTCCTCAATTCCGAAAGCTGCAGTTGAAATATAATCTGGATCAATATTCCTCCAGGGAATCCAAAATGGTTCTCATCCAGAAATACCCATCTGGTGTGCAAACAAGGGGGTGTTTGGAGAAAAATCCCAACCACGTGGAAAGAAGAGAAGGTAGATATTATTTTATGCAATAAAAATAAAACGCACATCCACAAAGAATTAGCTTGAGATGAATGCTTCCACTGACTGCTGCTGAAGAAATTGCACTGTAATTATCTCCTTGCAAATAGCTCACTTTGAAATTAGCACAGACTGGGGGATATCTACTGAATGAGAAAGCTGGGGTGATCCAGTGCGCTGGCTGGGGAATTCTGGGAGTTAAAGTCCACACGTCTTAAAGTCATCAAAGTTTGGAGATCCCTGCTCTAAACCAACAATTCTCAGCCTTAGCAAATTGAAGATATGTGGACTTCAACTCCCAGAAATCTGCATAGCTGACTGGGGAATTTTGGGAGTTGAAGTCCACACAGCTTAGAGTTGCCAAGGTTGAGAAACACTTTTCTCTCAACTTTTATATTTCAACCCTGGGCTATGGGAGTAGTAATTTACTCTTCATGCTTAGGCTTTTAACTGGACAAGCAAATAAACTTGCTATTAATTAACAGTGTTAAGTTAGATTATCGGCTAACCACAAATTAACTTTCTGGCTCTCTTCTCCTCTATATCTGTAGCTTTCTGTTCTTATTACGGGAGACAGTATTGTAATACTATTTGTACTAAGTAGCATACATTTTGTGGTATACTTTATATGGCTATTACTATTTGCCCTAAGAAGTATGCATTAAGTGTCATTCTCTTCGTAGATCAGTGCAAAGTATGGGACTCCGAAGACCTCATAGACCTTGACTCATTTAACACCAATGTGTTTTTTGAAATTCTGCTTACACAGTCTCTGGCCGTGACAACCAAACTCAGCCAGTTTAAAGAAGAGGTGAGTTATCTCCATGTACAAGTCAAGGAATTGTGGATTTATTCCATGCAGAAATTAAGATGTTTTTTTTCCTCTCCTTAAAGACTAATGGGCAAGCAGCAAATTATTTGTTGTGTGTTTGTATGTGTGTGATGCAGAGAAACTTCTCTCCAGCGGAGAAGCCCTGGTCATCTTCTGTAAACTTTGGAATACATACATACATACATACATACATACATACATACATACATACATACATATAGTACATACATACATACATACATACATACATATATGTCCTTGAAAGCTGCAAAATTGCGAATCCCGGGCATATTTGTTCAATAACACAATCTTCGATCTCCAGGAGAGGTATAAACCAGTTGTTTATTGCTAAAAAGATATTTAAAAACAATAAAAACCACTATTTACAATGTTAAAAGAAACAACTTAGCTTTCGCTGGTCCCCTGCCAGCGTCCTCAGAGTGGGGCTCAGGGGGTGGGGAGATTCTTTTTATACACCTTGCTGGTCTAACTGCTTACTCATTGCCCGTGTGATAGGGCCACCCCTCCTGATTAACTGTAATTGCCTTGGTTGCCCCGCCTTCTCTTTTTTGCACTCCAATTCCACACTTTTCCCCTCTCTCATCCTTGTCAATCTCCTCCCTCCCAGCACCATGGCTGCCGGTGTGCTCTCTAACCGCTCCCTCCTACTCATTCCAGGCTGCGCATTCAGACCCAGTGTTCCAAAAGGCTTGCCATCAGCGCTCCCCTCCCTTCTGGCCCGTTGGTCTGCACGCTGTTCCTGCCTGCCGTCATCCATTCCTGTCAGTCTTTTTTTCTCCGATTTCACTCCACCCCCGGGTGTGTGCAGGCTCCATAGTGCCTCATCCTTCTGGTCCATCTGCCCACAACTGGTGGGGATGCCTATCGGCTTGCTCTTAGGCTCAGCCTTTCTCATCCTCATTAGCCTTATCTCCCCCAATTTCCTTTCATACCTGGCTGTGCGTGCGCACAATCGTGTCCCGTCTCTCTGCCCCGTCTGCTTACGGTCAGCTGGACTATCCGCTGACGCCTCTTAAAGTCCAACCTCCCCCCTCTTTTTTATCCCTTTCGCCCTCCTTCCCCCTGTTGGCTACCCCTGTCTTGTTTGGTATCCCTGTCCTACGTGTTTTGGGTTGTACGGTCAGTCCAGCATTCCCAATGCCCCCTCATTGTCATCTCCCCCCCTGCGACCCTTCACCATGCTCACTTCCTCCCTCCTTTTCACCCCATCCATCCATCCATGATTCCAATATTTCACCATCCATCCCTATCGTCCCTATTCCCTCCAAATCCTTTCTTTGCCTAGCCATGCGATGACTGCCTTGCCCGGTTCTGGTTCTGCCTCTGGTAAGCAATGGCTGACTACCAACCAGAATTTTGGGCCAGATATGTGGATGACACATTCGCCATTATCAAATGAATGAAAAAAACTGCCTTTTTGGAAAAATTGAACACAATATTCCCGGACATACAATTCATGGCGGAGGAGGAAGCCAATGGCAGTTTGGCCTTCCTGGACGAGTTGGTCACACGCCAAACCAATGGTGCCCTCCACACAACGGTATATAGAAAAGCCACTCAAACCGATAGGATGCTGCATTACACGAGTAATCACCCATAAGATCGCATGCATTAGAATGCTATTCGCACGCATAGACACGCACTGTAACACTAAAAAGGCCAAGCAACTGGAATGTGCCCGCCTCCATCAGGTGTGTAGGTGGAACGGCTACCCAACCAGCTTCACCCGAAGATATATAAGAGCCGAGGTGGCGCAGCAGTTAGAGTGCAGTACTGCAGGCCACTTTAGCTGACTGTGTTCAGCAGGTCAGCGGTTCAAATCTCACCGGCTCAAGGTTGACTCAGCCTTCCATCCTTCCGGGGTAGGTAAAATGAGGACCCAGATTGTTGGGGGCAATGTAAATATATATATACATTGCTTACTGGTGTACACCACTTAGAGAGTGCTCGCACTTAAAGCGGTATATAAGTCTCAGAAATAAATAAATAAATATAGCAAACGCCAAGAACCCCGCAGGGCACCGGATGACCTAGGGACAACATCCTGACCTAGGGACAACAATGATACCGTATGTCCAGGGAGTATCAGAGGCAACAGCGCAGATATTAGGGCCTTATAACATCAAAGTGGCTCACCGACCCGACCAAACACTTCGGATGAAAGCGATGCGTCCCAAGCAACCTCTACCAAAGGAAGAAAAGTCATCGGTCGTATACAGGGTACACTGCAAGGATTGCCAATGTAACTATACGGGGGAGACGGCCAAACGGATAAAAACCAGAATACATGAACACAGATTGGCCGTCAGAAGGCAGGAGCAGTACTCCCAAATATGGACGCATATGGTTAACAATGGGCACTCATTTGATTTCAAGGGAGCAGAAGTCATCGTCCAGGATGCCCCCAAAGGAGAACGCCTGCTGAAGGAGGCCTGGCTCTCCAACATGGATTCAATCGATCGATGCATAGAATTGCCCCCCGGCAAACCAGACATTAAAAATACACGAGGAGCAAGTCAGGATGCGGATGGCGCTTGCCAGAGGCAGAACCCGAACCGGGGAAGGCAGTCATCGCATGGCTAGGCAAAGAAAGGATGTGGAGGGAATAGGGACGATAGGGATGGATGGTGAAATATTGGAATCACGGATGGATGGATGGGGTGAAAAGGAGGGAGGAAGTGAGCATGGTGAAGGGTCGCGGGGGGGGAGGTGACAATGAGGGGGCATTGGGAATACTGGACCTGACCGTAAGACCCAAAATATGTAGGACAGGGATACCAAACAAGACAGGGTTAGCCAAGAGGGGAAGGAGGGGGAAAGAGATTAAAAAAGGGGGGGAGGTTGGACTTAAAGAGGAGCCAGTGGATAGTCCAGCTGACCGTAGGCAGACGGGGCAGAGAGACGGGACATGATCGTGCGCACGCACAGCCAGGTATGAAAGGAAATTGGGGGAGATAAGGCTAACGAGGATGAGAAAGGCTGAGCCTAAGAGCAAGCCGATAGGCATCCCCACCAGTTGTGGGCAGACGGAGCAGAAGGATGAGGCACGATGGAGCGTGCACACACCCGGGGGTGGAGGGAAATTGGAGAAAAAGAGACTGACAGGAATGGATGAGGGCAGGCAGGAACAGCGTGCAGACCAACGGGCCAGAAGGGAGGGGAGCCCTGATGGCAAGCCTTTTGGAACACTGGGTCTGAATGCGCAGCCTGGAATGAGTAGGAGGGAGCGGTTAGAGAGCACACCGGCAGCCATGGTGCTGGGAGGGAGGAGATTGACAAGGATGAGAGAGGGGAAAAGTGTGGAATTGGAGTGCAAAAAAGAGAAGGCGGGGCAACCAAGGCAATTACAGTTAATCAGGAGGGATGGCCCTATCACACGGGCAATGAGTAAGCAGTTAGACCAGCAAGGTGTATAAAAAGAATCTCCCCACCCCCTGAGCCCCAATCTGAGGACGCTGGCAAGGGACCAGCAAAAGCTAAGTTGTTTCTTTTAACATTGTAAATAGTGGTTTTTATTGTTTTTAAATATCTTTTTAGCAATAAACAACTGGTTTATACCTCTCCCGGAGATCGAATATTAAGAACATAGAAATGGTTCACTTCCACGTCTCCATGACAAAGTGACTGCGAGGGTGTAGGAGTGGAACTAAGAACCAAGAACTAGCAATAAGGAGAAATTTCCTAACAGTGAGAACAATTAACCAGTGGAAATGGCTTTGTCTTCACAAGTTGTGGGTGCTCCGTCACTGGAGGCTTTTAAGAACAGATTGGACACCCATTTGTCTGAAGTGGTAGAGTTCCTCCTAATTGATCAGGGGGTTGGACTAGAAGACCTCTAAGGTCCCTTCCAACTCTGTTATTCTGAGTAGGGAAGAAATGTGCTGTGGCCCCTTAAGCTCACTGGCCAACATTTCGCTCCCTTGGTTTCAAAATTTTTGCAGTGATTTATTTAACAACTGGGACAAGAAACAGAAGCTGACTTTGTTCCTCTTGTCTTCTCTATGCTTCATTTCTTTCCTAGCTGAAATCCATATACTTCAAACTCCTGGAGGAATTCACCTCCCTCCGAGATCTCTGGGTAACAAAAATGTGCATTTCTGATGGAGGAAAATCTTGCAGTGATGCTCTAATGGGAGATTACATGAAGGTGAAAGAAGAGGTAGAAGAATCAAAGGGACTTTTATGAGGTTTTTGGGGGGGAGTAGGGTAACCTAGTTAATCCCTGAAGCAGGATTTCTCAACCTTGGCAATGTTAAGACGTGGACTGGGGAATTCTCTGGCTGGGGAATTCTGGGAGTTGAAGTCCACACGTCCACATGATGAAGGAACCAGGAAGAGATCTCACATCCTGCAGGGACCTCAAAGCTCTCCTTCGTTCCTTCCTTCCCTTCCTTCTTTCCTTCCTTCCTTCCTTCCTTCCTTCTTTCCTTCCTTCCTTCCTTCCCTCCTCCATCCCTCCCTCCCTCCCTCCCTCTCTTCCTTCCTTCCTTCCTTCCTTCCTCCCTCCCTCCCTCCCTTCCCCTTCCCCTAGATTTAAGTCATATTTGCCATTTGAGCATACCAAAACAGAGTGCTTCAAAAGGATTGAATGTTGGCCATGACAGTCCCAGATGACATGTCCCTATTTTATGTTGCAATTTAGGCAGAGGAGGAAATTAGGTGCAGAAAGCATTGGGCAGCAGAATACGAAGAGAGTTTGGACAGACAGATCAATCTCTTGACTCAGTATCTGAAACACGAGGAGGAACACTGGGTGGCTTTCAATTCTGGTCTCCAGGAAGTTGTGAGGCAGGTGGGGATGTTGGAAGATGTGCTCTCTAGAGAAGACTTTGGTTCAAATTCTAAACCAGAGCAATGGAGGTAAGAGCAATCCTTAAAAACTTGCCTGCACCAACCCAATTCCTCCTGGTCTGCTTGACCAAATAATTTGCCGTTTCTAGCTAGTCAATAGCAACACTTGGGGGGACTCTCTCTGAAACATAATTTGTTTGGGGACGTGTTTGCTGTCCTGATGCTTTCAGGTTATTAAGCCTCATAGATGCTGCAAGCGAGAAGCTCACCAGCATGGTGGTCAAGGAGAGCCATCGGCTTATGCAGTGGGGACTTCTTGGAGAAGGAACAGGAGCTGGCCTTCTGAACCAAGAGAAGACCCTGGTGCTCACCAAGGAGAACCTTGGTAAAAGAGAACCCCTTAAAAGTTTGCTTTTAAAAAAAAGAGGGATTGGCTTTACGGATGTTGCTATCATCAGGACTTTAGCTGATAAGAATCATAATGCAAAATGTATTATCCATTTTGAATAATAAAGTGGGATACAAACATATAAATATAGCAACAGTTTATTTATTAAATTTATATGCTACCCATCTCACTATTCAGGCGACTCTGTTCAATTCTTCATCTGCATTCTTGATGGACATCTGTCCAAATTGAAGACTGGGTTTGGAATCTAATTAAGGCTGCCTTGAAATGTTTAAGGCTTGTGTCTTTTCATTGTCTTCATCGTTGTTCCCAAAACCAGGTGGCTCCTTCAAGACATGTGAAGTTCTGCATCAGGATCTTGCCACCGGACTGATAATGCCCAATGAAGACATTACTATGCTTTTAGCCAATCAGTCCATGAAGTCTGCATTTCCAGATCACTTCCTGCATCCTGGGACAGGAAAACTGCTCCCAATAGCTGGGAATGTTGGCTTTGATCCCCTCGAATCCAAGCTGATCCCCATGGTTGATTTAGTATCTGGTAAGAATACACCTTACCAAGGCATTTTAAGGAATATTACTGTTGTGCTAATTCTGTTTATTTCATATCTTCTATTTAGAAGCTTCAATTTTAATTCTTCATCACTCTTGGTCAGATCTAATTGCTTTTGACTGTCCATCACTTTAATCATTCTTGCTGTAGGGCTAGACTTTTCCTGGTCTTGGTCTCTGTAGGTGCATGCATTTGGAGGGAACAAGCTGGGGACAACAACTGTGGGTTGTTTTAACACCAACATAATGCCGTTCAATGCTTGATCCTTGTATGCTTCCCTTATATGTTCTGTTTCCCTTTTGGGGTTTCTGCTTAGGAGAGATTCAATATCACTCGGACCTCCCAACCTTCTCCTTTGTCCCATATCCTGTTTGTCCCGAAACTGGCCTTCCAGGAAGAATTAACTTACCTGTTCTGCAACCTGAGAAAGTATTTAAGTTTGGAGGCCTGATGCAAGATCCAGTTACTGGAATGGAAGTACCAATCCTTGCCATCACTGCTCATCCCCAAACTGGCCAATGGTTGACCTTGGGTGGGACATACCTGAATCCCCTCACAGGGATGGTGACCCCGCTTGAAATCGGAGGGCCCATGAAAGTACAAGAGAGTGGAAAAATCGTTCCTATCCTTGGAGTCGGTTTGGATAATAACACAGGTAGAGAAAAGACTTGATTGTTGACCTAGTTTTGTTCAAGAGAGAGGTGGGAGGAGGGTTCATGTCTTGGTGGAAAGGTGTGATCACTGAAAAAGGGAGCAGCTTCACTTTTAGAATTACCAGCAGATTGATATATGCTAAATAAGATATCCATGTCCAATAAAGTTAAAACTACCCCTTCCATTTTTTTGTGGGAAAGACGAAAAGTAACTCACCTGTGTGTCTATGGTTGGTCACTTACCTGGGAGCGAGATGACAATTTCAAGAGTTTGTGTTCCTGCTAAGGGGTCCTTATCTTTAAACTGGGTGGACTGGACTATCTGTCCAGGGGAGGATACCTACAATCAGAGCTGGGCATCCATGTAGTTAGATGACCATAAAGTAGGACATCCCTTTCCTGCACATGACACACAAGGAAGGCACTCTGTCTGTTCCTTGATGCCTCCAAAGGTTCACTAGCATGGGATTGGAAGTTCTACCATCCACCTGGATGGTACCACAATCCTGGAGGTTTCGTTGCTAGTCTTAGAACCATAGGATGGAAGAATTGGAAGGAACCATGAAAATCTTTTGGTCCAACCTGCTGCCCAAAGATCAATCTTCCAGGAATTCTGAATTGTTTTTCATGAGCTACAGTAGTTCTCATCTCCAGATGTTTTGCACTGAGGATCCCAGTTTTTTAACATTTTAAGTTCTTCCGTAATTACTCCTTTGAGCTTTGTGATTTGGTAATAGTTGACAAGCAAGGACAAGGGGAAGCAAATGGCCCTTTTCCAGGGAATGGTGGTTATTCTAGTCCCCCAGTTTTGACGAGAAGCCCAGGTGGTTAAGAAGTAGACCTTTACCTGGACTACAGCCTACACGCAAGCCCATAGAGAAAAGCCATGGATTGTTCAAAATACTATTTCAGAAGCTAAAGAAAAAATCAATACAGTTTCCTGCTTTGTCAAATACAGAGGCAGAATGAATATATATTGACAATAGAGAGATTACTTGGAAGAAAGCAATGAAAAGTAATGAAAAGACTCTATTCATTAAGTCAGCTGCCCAAGCTGCTTTGACTTTCTCAAAAAGTAGTTTAGCCAATCAATAAATATAATAAACAAGGCATTAAAAATAGGTTTGCTTTGGTCTTCTCAGCTTAGGAGCTTAGAAAACATTTCCCATTCTGTCCAGCATTGTACCATTGATTTTTAATAATGAAAGCTAACCTATTTATGATTTTCTGAAAATTCAGTCAGTTCTATGATACTGATTAAATGGGGGCACCGCAAAATCTAGTGGGTCTTGCTTTGCTCCACATCCAGATGAATTTCAAAGAAAACAAACTGAGGTCTATTTCAGAAAAAAGAACAGTCCACATTAGCTGACTCCCTGTTGTGGCTTCTATATAAGGGAAGAAATAGAGCTTAAAAATCATCTATCATCAGTTGAGGTCCCATTCAGGATGAGCTGAGATGGACTAATGTTCTCTTGCTGTTCTCCAAACACAGGAATCGTTGTTCCACTAGGAGGACTACAAGGTCCTTCTGGAGACCTTCTGCTTCCTGGAGATCCTTTTGTGGAGCCCTTGAGTGGCAAGATGGCTCGCCTGCAGGGCCTCTCCCTTCGGCAGGACAAAATAGTACCTCATGCAGGCAGTTACCAGGTGCTCTTGGAAGCCAATGTCCTCATCGCCCAGATCCTTGTGGTGAAAGTCCTGCAGGAATATAAAGACTCAATTAGCAAGGATCTATGCCCAATGGTCAGGTTGACAAAAATTCTCAATGGGCCAGAGGAAGCCATGGAAACGGCACTGGCCCACAAGCTTGGTTATTTGATGTACTACCTACAGAACCTGGAGAAGCAACGAGGTGGTGCTTCCAGTGTCGAGAGAACTGGTGGAAAGCTGGGTGGGTGTTGGCATGGATTAAGTTGTTGATGGGAGGAGCTACAGAGCTTGGGATGGATTTGATGGTCAGTGCAGTTGGGTAGCAGGAAGGACTCTGCACTCTCTCCCCAGTTGAGTGCCCAAGTCTTTGCTATTGTTTCTTCTTTCATAATTGAATAGTTGTTATTTTGCCTTTTTGGAGCCATCTAAAATTGATTGTGTATCATGAAGTCATCGTTGACTCCTAGCAGCCATCTAGATAGATGATTTTCCATGATGATCTATGCCTAACTTGCTCTTTCCGGTCTTCCAAGGTTGCCCTGATCTATTCATCAGCTTCAAATATAGCTGTTAAATACAATCTGTGCTTTGCCTGTTATTCATAAGGGGAGGGGAGGGGAGGGGAAAGAAAGAAAGAAAGAAAGAAAGAAAGAAAGAAAGAAAGAAAGAAAGAAAGAAAGAAAGAAAGGAAGGAAGGAAGGAAGGAAGGGAAAGAGAAAGAAAGAGAAAGAAAGAAAGAAAGAAAGAAAGAAAGAAAGAAAGAAAGAAAGAAAGAAAGAAAGAAAGAAAGAAAGAAAGAAAAAGAAAGAAAGAAACTAGCCATAAATATATATCTCAGCTAGGTTCTCAAAACCTTGGTCATTCATTGGCCGTCTAGTTCTGATTTTAGTGATATGTTTTGTCCTTGTTATAAATAAATCAGGAATGATCAAGTATCTCAGCACAGAACTTTGGATCCCTGCTGTGTTTGGGATGAAAATTCCAGACCCCGGAAGTTCCGAATTGATGGTTCCCATCCTTGGCGTGGAATGTGATTGGAAAACAGGGCAGCCAGTACCGCTTGCTGGGGTGACAGAAGATGCTAATGGGAAAGGTAAATCTTTCAACTTCAATTAGGATTTTTGTTTTGTTTTTTATAACTGCTAGGGAAACGTCTAAATCTTCCATCATAAAAACACACAGCTCAAGATTTACTTTCTTTGCATGCCTTCTAGGCTTGGTGCCCATCACAATAGGCTCCAGAGCCATCGATCCCATCACAGGGGAGACGGGACCGGTCATTGGCGCACAGACCAACCCTTGGACCAAGGCTGTCCTTCCTGTCGTCCAGCCGCAAGGATGCTTGCCGCGAGAAAAAATAGATCCCGATTTGGTAATGCTCTTCTACCACCTTCGAAGGGCTTTCTCATCCGGATTCTCCCGAACTCTTTCTCACACATGTCATACTTACAGCTGACTGCCTTGGCCAAGGAGCTGATGGCCAGGAGGGTTTACTGGCACTCCCAACGAGAGAAAGAGCAGGAGGTATTTAAAGAGGTGGATCACCTGTTGCATGATATCCTCGATGCTGCCAAAGAAGGAAAAATGGGAAAGGTGAGGCTGGGATGTTCTTGTGGTGTTGATTGCTAGGAAGACTTAAGATACCGCCTGGACCAGCTATTGCTCAGCAGATACCCCTCCAGATGCCCAGGGTTACAACCCTTCACATCCCAGACTGGCTAGAGAGGATAGATGGAACAGGTCAGTGCAATTATTCATTAGGGTATTTTCTGTAAAGATAGCTCTTGACTTACAACCATCATTTGGGGGCCATTCAAAGATGCAACAGCATTGAGAAAAATGATTTATGACCACTGACCTACGACAGTCACAGCATCCCTGCAATCACACGGTCCAAATTTGGGCATTTGGCAACCAGCATGTCTTTAGAGCAGTTGCGCTGTCCTGGGCTCATGTGGTCACCATTTACAACCTTCCCAGCCGGCTTCCAACCAACCAAGTCAGTGGAGGAAGCCAGATTTGCTTAATGACCACATGATTCACTTAATAACCGTGGCAAAAAAAGGTGGTAAAATTGGGCAGGACAACCACCTTGCTTAGCAACAGAGGTTCTGTTTGCAGCTGTGGTTCTATGTCAAGGACTATCTATAGGAAAATGGTTTTGTCCAGCCAGAAGACACACAAAGAATCCAGAAGGATAAAATCCAGGATAAAAAAGACCCTTGTGATAAAATACATGGAGTGACAAAAGTCCTGTTTTTAGATGAAGACTTTTTTTGATTTCACCTGCAGATGTTGGTGCCCAAGCAATTTTAGTCTTTCAGGAGAGGCCTGGCCTTGGAACGCTAACTCTTCTGCACCATCTACTCTTGCATGTCTCAGCCGCCATTTTCTCTTTGTTTTCCTCTTCTGCAAGTTCAAGTTCAGGGACAGATTAAAAGCTGCTGACAAAATTTGCCACTTCCTGGAATCATCTTCGGCCCAAGAAAGTCAAAGGCAGGTCGGCCGAGACTTGACAGCATTGGGGAACCCTGAACGATCTTTATGGTCAAGAGGTAAGGAAGGAATTCTGGATAAATGAGATAAAATATTTGCAGGTCCTTGAACTGTTCAAAGCATCTTTATAAAGGCTGCCTGCTGTGGAGAAAGAGAGAAAGAGAGAAAGAAAGAAAAAGAAAGAAAGAAGGAAGGAAGGAAGGAAGGAAGGAAGGAAGGAAGGAAGGAAGGAAGGAAGGAAGGAAGGAAGGATGGATGGATTTCAGGATTTGTCTGCATGCATTGTGCAAACCTGAAGTAAAATTGGAGGTGATTTGATTGTAAACTGAGTTCATTTATTTATTAAATTTATTTGCCACCCATCTCGCCATAAGGGAGTTGCATGATTAGATCAGAATAAGCCTGAAACCCAGGGCGTGAAGAGAGATGATCAAATGATGGTTTGATTTCCATGCTAGTTAAAGCTAGGTGGGTTGGTGGGGGCTGCTTATTTTGCATATTCTGGGATTCGTGGAATTAATGTCTAGCTTTGACCCCCGAGATGGACAGATTTCCATGGTTTTAAAGAGATAGACATTTCCATGGGGGGGGGGCGTATGTCGGAAGGTGGATTCATACTCACACTCTTCCCGATCTGGGTTTGGTGGCTCTAGTGGACAAGGACGAGAAAGAGCAGGAGGCCAAAGTCCAGCTTTTGCTCAGGAAGACTTTGGAAAAACTGGTGCAATTAATTTGGACAACACAGCTGGAAGATCAGCGGATCCAGATGCAACTGAAGGAAGCCGAGCGACATTGGAGCAGGAGCCTCCGCACCCAGGAAGTCATCAAAGAGAAATTCAGAAAGGTGATCCGCAACCTTGATCTACTAGGATCTTGGTTTAATGCCTATTTTAAAAGAAAGTATGTCTTTTTATAAAGGGCTTCTCTACAATTTTGAATGTTTGATCACACGACTGTGGGGATGCTGCAACAGCGCAAAGACCTACGACCTTAACCACTGCAGCCTCCCCCAGGTCACATGATCAAAATTCAGACAGTTGACAACTGACTCACAATTATGAATGTTATAGTGTCCCGGGATCATGTGATCCCCTTTTGCAAACTTCTGACAAGCAAAGTCAATGGGGGAAAGCCAGATTCCCTTCACAATTGGGTTACTAATTTAACAATTGCAGTGATTCACTTAACAACTGTGGCAAAAAAGATCGCAAAACAGAGCAAAACTCTATCAATGTCTCGCTTAGCAGCATATATTTTGGGCTCCATTGTGGTCGTAAGTTGAGGACAACCTGTAGTCACTTACTTACTATAAACAATCAGGAAATGCATCATCCAGACAGATCCTTTGTCTAATTTAAGTGCATGGATGAAAAATGTAGACATGCCTATCATAAATGAGAGAAAAATACACTAAATTTCTTTCCAGACCAAACTGCATCTCTTGGCAGAATTCCAGGACCACATTGCAAGACAGCAGACCAGAGTGGAGACTGAATATTGCAGACTGGAATATCTGCGACTCTTGTCAGACATTGTGGCCTTCCAAACAAAGGTATGACTCCAAGATGACAACTTGGAGTCAGCCTCTCGCCAGGGATAGTAAGATGTTCATCCAGGATGAACCATCCCTTGTGTAAATTGGTGTCTCTCCAAACCAAAGCTCATTCATAAAAAGAGAATATTTGCAGCTCAGGATTGAACTGTGGGCTCCTTGGTGCTGTCTGAGCTTGGTTGTTTTCTTGCAAATGTTTCATTAACCAATTAGGTTACATTATCAATGATATTATCTGGTTGGGTAATGAAATGTCTACAGAAACACAACCAAGTACGGATGTCCCAAAGACGCTTTTTCAATAGGCAAGTGGACTTTCTTTGGTTTGCTTGAAGACATTTCTCTTCTCATCCCAAAAGTGAAGAAGCGTCTTGAATGAGAAGTGAAACATCTTCAAGGAAAACACAAAGAAAGTCCAGTTGCCTTTTGAAAAAGCACCTTTGGGACAACCATGACCTGGATGACTGAGAACCTCCATAGACATACACCAAGCACAGAGAGCACCAAGGACCTCTTTCACCAGACTCTCTTTCTCCTTGTGAGCTTATTCCCACTTGTAATTTTCTAGCACTCCATAAGGATAGCATAAAAAGGGCCATATTTTGCAGAATCATAACCTCTTTTCTCTATCTCAGGACTGTCTCTCTGGATCTTCTCAATGCTTCATGAACTACCCTGCTGCAAGATTTTACAGCATGGCTGCTACTCCCTGTGGAAGTTGGGAGGTCATCAATAAAAAATTGATCCCCTTGCTGAAATCGGTGCTCCAGACCCTGGAAGAGAACAAAAAAGGTTCTTCATCTCCTGAGGAAGGTCAGGGATCAGGAGATGCCACTGACCATGTTGTGCTGGCCATGTTGATGGGTGCGGTCAGAAGATGTCTCCAGTTTACTAATCAAACTGATTAGCAATCTTACTTTTAGGCCAAGGTTGAGCATGCCCTGAGACCTCTGAGGTCCCCAACCCTTTTTTGATAGTTCCCAGAATCCCCCAAAATTCCACCACAAAAATAAGTTGATGTGATGGAATGTAGTCTGGATTCCTGGGAGGGAGGGGCTGCGTTCCAGAGGACCAAGATACAGTGAAATTTGGATTAGTTGGTTGGGAGGAAGAGAGTTAAGCCGGCTCCCCCCTAGCAGTTCCCGAGTGTATCTTTAATGATGCAAACAGCCTGCTTCAGTTTAGCAAGATTGGCATCAGGTTCCCAAAAAGCCAAGAAAGGCACATTGAGGTTCTTCTAAGAAATTTCCTTTATTGTTCCTCATCTATAGACAGAAATCTTGCCAAACCTCTTAAATTGTAGGATTTCAGGAGAGAGTTGAATTTGCTAAGTGCTAATATATTATATAAGTGCTCCAGAATTTTTATAATGGAACAGAAATAAATTCTCAACTGCTTTCATTTTCTGGCAGATACTGACAATTCTTTCCAGGATATAATGGATGTTCAAATGATCCCTAAGTCCAGAGAACTTGTCCCTGTGCTTGTTTCAAGTCTTTCTGCGAGGGAATTTGTAACCTACCAGTATGGCGTTGTCACTTTGCAATTTCTCCGACCTTATATTGGTGTAAGTGTTCAAAAAGTGGAAGCATCTTTAGGAAACAGTTTCCATTCTGCATAGGGTCTAAAAAAAATCAGAGAAATCAGTTCCTCATCAAAACATACATCGGCTCTGATCAATAGATCAGCCTGATAACCATTCTATGGTCCTTCTTGTTGTTCTCCCCTCCCTTCCAAAGCTAGTGGAAACAAAAATTGGGGTAATTACTATTTTGAAAAGAAAAAAAATATTTTTTCACTATTATTGTCCATCCAATTTTCCTCTCTTTATGCACCAGGAACCCTCTTCATTTTCCCTTGGGTTTCAGCCCTTATATATGAAAGGAACTGTACATTCTACCAATCCAGATGTTCTCTCGTGAATGCTGAACAAATAAAATGGGAAATAGATAGTTCAAATTTTATTCAAAAGAAACAATAAAAAAGATAAGAAGGAAACAAAAAGAACAGAACACATCCTCTCCAGGAGCCAATGCCCAGATAAGCAGGGGTTAACTCCAAACAAATAGCCAAACAGAAAACAATACCCTAATCAAGAAGCTCCAAGGAGAAAACCACACACCCCTATAAACACTAGGAGGGCAAACTATATAAACAGGGAGAAACCCCCATGCACATCACACTGATGATGTTACCTAGTTGGGTAATGCGATGTTTGTAAGCAAACAATCAAGCCCAGAGAGCATCAAGGAGTCCACAGTACAACCCTGAGCTACAAATATTATCTTCTATTGGAATTTCATTTCTTCAGTGAAAAGTCCAAATGAACTTGGATGTTATGAACTGTGTTTGGAATTTCCATGTTATTATCCTGGATTGGAAAAGGCATCATAGCCACCATTTCCACTTACTTTTAGGCTCCAGAGGTGGAATTGTGCCTTGCCTCCAGAATTCCTTCTAGCAATGCCCCTGGGAATGCTTTCAGAAACACCTTTTATTACCAGGTAAGCTATCCTGAGTGGGGGGAAAATGTAACAGTACTGGTCTAGTTCACACATTGCACTGTATTATTGGCTTTGGGAATAGTTTGCTTTTGGCACAAGCCCTGTTGTGGCTGAAAAACTAGGATGAAGCATCTTTAGCTGGGTTTCCCCAACCATTTGTAGCTTATTCCATACATCAGGAGTAAGTACACGATGGTTTAATTACAATGGGTTAACCCACTCAAAGAGTGGAAGAAAAGTTCAGGAAAAATCTGTGCATCTGCCCAATGGTGTGTCAGCCCATGGATCCAATTGTGTTTGTGGTTTGGTCTTCAGAGGCAATGCCCAGGCTCTTTGTGATGAGTTATTACCTGTTGCAATCTCATTCCATCCTCCATCCAGGCCCAAAAACCTGGAGAAGAAAATTAGGTCATTATAGCACGGCTGAAAAGACAATATTGGAAAGAGTGAACCAAGGAGAGTGCTTAAAAAGGAAGGTGTGATGGAGAACTTCCTAAGTATTAGAAACTTGAAGGTCGTGGATGTCAAAGCCTCAGACTCTTGCTGGTCTCCATCTTCCTTTTTCTGCAATCGTCTTTAAAGGGGTTTTGCTTCGCTTTTTCTTCAGATCCCTGGCAATCGACTGTTTGTCTTAAGAGAGTCTCTGGCCTGTGCCGGGAGCTTTGTCCTACTTCTTGTCCACTGCCTGGCCCACATAACCGCCAAAGACTTCAGCCAAGATTCCAAGCCAGCTTTTCGAAGGCTGTTTTACCAGGTAAAGAATAACGGCCAACTTAAACTGGGGAGTTCTCTCTGTGTCCTTTCCTGGTTTGCAAAGGCTGCTTTGCCGTGGATCTCTTTGGTCTCTACTGTAGCATTTCTCAACCTTGCCAAGTTTAAGACAGGTGGACTTCAACTCCCAGAATTCCAGCTGAACATGCCACAGTATTTATAACTTCCCTCCTATAAGCAGAGTGCTTAATACTTAAAGATTAAATATTTGTTTGAATATGATTAAAAAGAACAGAAAATTTTTTGGACATACAGTAAATGTATCTTAGCTTAAGAGGGACATGTTTTTCAAGTAATATATTATTTCCTTCTTTTTTTTCTTCTCTCTCTTTCTCTCTTTTTTTAAGATATGAGAATGTAAAACTGTTGAGATAGCTTGTATGAGGAAAAATACTTAAAAATACACTTAAATACTTAAGTGTACTTAACTCTAAGAAAATCTTAACAGGTAAAAATGGTTTTTTAACATTGGGAAAAATAAATTTAAGTAAGAACTTTAAAAACAGGATCTATGATAAGGTGAATAAGATGATTAATTAGAAAAGAAGCTTTACATCGACTCTCTCCAGATAAGATGCTCTGGAATTTTCTGAAAGGTCCCAATTTTCTTTGCCTCTCAGGCGCTTAAAGTCTGCCTGGGGGAAATGTTCTCACTGAGGCTCCAGGCGTCCACATTTTCAGAAGAAAGTAAGTCTGCCGCCACTGTGATCAAGCAGGTTTTGCAGAAGAGCGAGGAGGCATCTGCTGAGCTTCTCTCACAGCCTCTGTATGCCAAGGCAAAGGGCTGCAGAGATTCCCAAAAGGTAAATGCTTCAGGTACTCTCTGCTTCCTGTAAAGATGTCCATGTTGGAGAGGTTTGTTCCCACAATTATCCTTTGTGTGAGTGCATGTTCATGTCTGAGCGTCTTTGTGTGTACAAGTCTTAGAACTAATTTGGTAGAAACTGAACAACTCAAGCTAAGAACAAGTATTCCACAGATCAATCAGAACTGTTATATCTACCTTTCTCCATCATGCTCTCCCACTCAAGCTTTCTAAGCCCATGTAGCTCCTCCAGAACTTCTTATGCTTTGTCTCTCCTGCTTTAGGATATCAGCAGAGCAATGGAGAAAGAGCAGCTACCAGTTGACCAAATGGAGGTCCTGTCCCTGGAAGACCCATGGCTGAGCCAGGAAATAGACAGGCTTCCGAGGAAGCTTCAGAAGGAAAAGTGGCCTGAGTGAATTTTGGAAGCTCTGGTAGAGATCACCAAGGCAGAACAATGAAAGGACCGTGGAAGTGAGCCAAGATGACCATCTTTGGCCATTTTTCTGCACTAGCTGAGCATAACCTTGGAGAATAAATGGTCAGGAGGAACCTAAAGGCAGAAGGAAGATTGGAGTTATCTAGCATATATCTGAGGACAGGAAGACCTGGAGGAACGTTGTCCATGGGGTCACAATGGGTCGGACACGACTTCGCAATTAACAACAACAAGCATATATCTGAATTATTGATCCATGCCGAACTGTGCATCATGTTCACAAACATGATGAACACATGTTAGGGCTGTGTGAACTTTGAAAGGCAGCGTTATAACCAGAGTCTCAGGTCTCTCTGGAAGATTAAAACTTGCAGCTTTGCAGGGTGTGTGTGTGTGTTCTTTTTGTAAAACCCATTGGAGATTCCTGCTGGGATGTGGTTATGTGTTACCTTTGCTCTTGTATTATCTAATTTAATTTAATCAAATTAATCAAGGAGAGAATCAACCTGGAACTAAGGAGAAATTTCCTGACAGTTGGGACAATTAACCAGTGGAACAACCTGCCTCCAGAAGTTGTGGGTGCTCCATCACTCAAGGTTTTAGAAAAGAGATTAGACATCTATTTGTCCAGAATGGTATAGGGTCTCCTGCTTGAGTAGAGGGTTGGACTAGAAGACCTCCAAGGTTCCTTCCAATTCTGTTATTCTGTTACTTAGTGTGACAAATGATTCAGTCTATATATTCCTTTCAAGTGATGTAACAATTTAGAAGCAGGCAGATAATCAGAAGGGCGCTCCTTAAGAAGACCATATCTCTGAGATAGTATGGCTAGCATGCTAATCTCGCAGAAAGGGATAAGTAACGTCACGTAGATGCATTTATCGAAAACATTTCAGCATTGTTCTGTAGTTTCCACGTGTCTTCCATTTTCTTTGCCTTGTTTTGCACGGTCAAAGATATGCAATCTTGGTTTTGTTTTGGTTCATGGCTGTTCAGCAAAGGGCCAGAGCTTTGCTGGGAATTGTGTGCATGCTAATAAAATGATATTGTATCATCAAAGGGTCTGGGTTGCTTCAGGTGACCACATCACCATTCAGCTTGAAAATAAAATGTATATATTCCAGATAAACTAGTGGATGTATCACCAAATGATTCAATCACAGTTGTCTGGATTTGCAAGAGACAATTGGCCAGAGACTAGAGCAATTAGGTTCACCCAAAGCTCTAAGCTCCAACTAAACCAACCACTTTGCAATTTACTAGAGGGAGGGAGGAAGGGAGAGAGGGAGGGGGAAGGAAGGAAGGAAGGAAGGAAGGAAGGAAGGAAGGAAGGAAGGAAGGAAGGAAGGAAGGAAGGAAGGAAGGAAGGAAAAAGGGAGGGATGTTAGTTTGCAATAGGAAACTAAAATGCAATAAAAACTTTATAACATTCATTGCCCTCAGTAGAGGACAAGGCCGTGAAAAATCACTCCACAAACCAATTCAGCAATAACTGGAGAACATAATCCACCCAAAAAGTGTTTGTATGATTGTAACAATGCAGCCCTTTGGAGTCTATAGCAATGGATGATTCTGTCCCTTAAATAATAGCCTAGTTTTGCAAAGCCCAGCCAGACTAGTTTACCAAAATCCACTCAAAATATCTTGGCGATGGCTCTCCCAGGCATCCAGCAGAGGTTTTGGCAGACTTTGTCACTAAATGCTGCAAATATCAAACACGTGTTGCTCATTCATGAATTAATAAGGTACCTCTGAACCTTCTGTCTTTAGCTCAAGAATAGGATGCCTTTAAAACCTTTGCATGCTCATAGCTGCAAAGCAATCATTACAAACTTGATGATTTGCCATCCCTTGATGGATCCAGCATGGTATAAAGTACAGCCAGGAGTCAGAAAATAGTTGGAAATGGATCCATTATATGGGTTGCCTCCTTCATCTGTTCCCTTGCCAGGTTAACAAAGCTTATTTTGGCAGCTGGCTCAAACCACAGCCTTGGGGAACCGAAGGAGATCACTTTCTCTTGATGCTTAGAGAGGTCTAAGCTGCTTTCATGCTCTCACAGACTGCTAGGGAGAGCAGTGGCTTTTAATTGTTTTGTTTCCAAACAAAACTGGGACTGGATCATGACTGAATGTCCATGTGGGACTAGGCAACTTTTAAAGGACTGATAGAAGAGGATCTTTGGAGCTTAGGGTTGAACTGCGGGGTCCATGGTTCTCTCTAAGTGTGTTTTCTTGCAAACATTGAATGACCCAACTAGGTAACATCTTCAGGGAGGAGGAGGAGTGTGAGATCCTTGATGCTCTGTGTTTGTTTTCTTGCAAACATTTAATGACCCAACTAGATAACTTCATCAGTGCTGGAAGGGAATGGGATTTGCACAGTGGAGGAGGAAGATGACGACTGTGAGGTCATTGGTGCTCTCTGACTTTGCTTGCTTTCTCACAGACATTTCATGACTCAACTGGGTAACATCATCTGTGCTAGAAGGAAGTGAGATTTGCTCTCATTTTATATACTAGTGGCTTGCTCTGTCAGCGTTGGTGGGAGTGCTTTTAAAGGACTTTCCACTTTGCACTGGACAAATTGTCCCCTATCCAGGATAGCATAATATGTATTAAGACTGAATGGGAAGGGGGCATTTCATTGGATCAACATCCTTCCCCAAGAAAAATTGTTCAGTCTGCAATGGAGAAAAACTCAAATTTGATTCAGGGATGACCACATGGACCCAGCCTTTTTTTAACATGCTGGGTGTAGAACAAGGGAGGCTTCAATCACAGGACTATGGCTATCATCTTGATTGTTTTCATTCACCCATGAACATGTCTGATGAATTCATGGACATATCAAGAAAAGTTTCTTTGAAAATGGTATGGAAGAGATTTTTCCCTTCCCTCAAGTTCCTAATGTAATCCAGAGTATTAATCTTTCCCCTATAATTTCCCATCCTGTTTAGCTTTCGTAAGATCAGTAGATTGTCAAGGTCTACTTAGGTGAGTTTTCTATCTGAAAATTTATCTTGGAAACACAAAGAAAGAGGCCTTCACACAAGGTGATAACTAATTTAGAAGGTTGCCCAGATAGAAAATCTAGTTTTCACAATGCAGATATGAAATGAACCAATTTTCTGTGAAAAAATTAAGGGAATTTCCCTACAGCACTGCCTGGTCATGAGATTTTAGGAAACAAGGTTTGTTTATTGAGCTGGCCCACTTCGCCTGGAGATACAAACACACACACCCCAATATCTACATTCCTCTCCCTCCTTCTTCTTCACAGAGTAACTAGTTCTTTAAAAAGCAACCAAGAAAACATTCCATTTTATTAATAAGAGAATTTCCTTTTCACATTTTTCCACAAGCGCAGTCTCGGAGTTCATTTTTCATTTGTCGCCATTTTAAAAACAGTATTAAAAATGTCTTAAAAGAGACCGCCCCTTGTAAGCATGCATTAAAAAAAAGCTTACAAAGCACATAATTTTTTAAAACTCCACACACACGAGAGAGAGAGAACGAGAGAGTGAGTTGGGGACAAGGATTGTCCTAAAGTGTTCCAAAACTTTTTGGGTTTTCTCCTGGGGAAGCCACCAGCTGCCGTCCGACGTTTCGGCTGCCAGCTTATTCAGGGCTCTGGCCTGAGTGTAAATCAGAGCTTTATCGACTGGAGCTGACCCAGTGGTACCTGTCCACTCGGGGACAACTGAAGGGCAATGAGGGGCGGCAGGCTTTGTACCCCTTGTAGTGGAGATAGTAAGCAGCGGCAGGATTCGGCTGGATGCCATCCGGAACAAAGCATCTTCTACGAGAATATTGGGTCCAGAGGGGGAACGGCTCACTGCACTGAAAGCAGATGGAGATCATGGGGGGGGGGTGAAAGTTCAGGAGGGGACAGTACTGGAAAGTCCCTGACTTATAACCACAATGGAGCCCAACATTTCTGTTGCTAAGCGAGACCGTTGTTAAGTGTGTTTTACCCCATTTTGCAACCTTTCTTGTTAAGAAAAACCCCTGCAGATGCTAAATTGGTAACAGGACAGTTGAGTGAGTCTGGCTTCCCCATGGAATTTCCTTTTCAGAAAGTCGCAAAAAGGGGACCACGTGGCCCCGGGACGCTGCGACCGTCATAAATATGAAGCAATTGCCCGGCATCTGGATTTTGATCACATGGGGATGCTACAATGGACATGAGCGTGAAAAACGGTCATCGGTCACTTTTGAGAGTGCCACTGTAACTTCAGATAGTTACTAAATAAATAGTTGTAAGGTGAGGACTATCTGTAGAAGCCTTCTGCCAGCTTCCCGGTGCTCCGCTCGGTTCTTTCATCTCCCCTCGTTCCGACTGAGCTGCTCTTGGCAGAACTTTGGACAGTTTCTAAGAACCTCCGTTCATTTTCCTCCTTCCTCCCCATTTCTCTTTCTTTTACGGTGAAGCACTCAAGGCCCTCCCCATCGTTCCTGACTCCCCAGGCACATCACAGGGGACATACTTTGGGGAACAAAAGGCCGGTGCTGCTTCCCAGCCCAGGTGGACCCAGCCCTGCTTCGATAAATTAAGGGGCTCTTTCTCAATTTCTTGGGATGGACCCCTGTGAAGCGAGATGTTGTGGTTTTCTGGTGGGTGGATGGATGGATGGATGGATGGATGGATGGATGGATGGATGGATGGATGAGAGGGAGGGAGGGAGGGAGGGAGGGAGGGAGGGAGGGAGGGAGGGACGTGGGTGTATCTCAACCTTGGCAAGATTAAAATGGACTTTAACTCCCAATATTCCTCATTGGCTGGGAAATTCTGGAGTCCACCCACCTTAAAGGGGCCACGTTTGAAAAGTCCTGGCGTCAAAGCCACCCGCAGCCCCTTCCTCTCACCTGATAGATGCTGTTGGGATTGCTAACCGTTGGGATGCTTTTGGGTTCCCTGGTGGTGCTGTCCTCGTCAGAAGAAGTGCAGGAGTGATAATCGGAAGAGGAAGACGAGGAGGAGGCAGCCTTCTCCACTGCCTGCCGGATGCCCTGAGACACATCGTGGTCGTTCTCTTGGCCTGTGAAGTGAGCCACGGTGAACGCTGGATTTTTCTCGCCGTATCTAAAGGGAGGATTGGGTTAAGCAGGGCAGCAAACAGAGCCTCAGGCAAGGAACAACTCGGTTCTTAGAGCAAAGTTTCCCAAACCTCTTCCTTCCTTGCCCCAAACCATTTATTATATTTTTAATTTACTATCTGTTCCTCCCTCTTCCTATCCTCCCTTCCTCTCTTCCTTCTCTCTACCATTCCTATCTTGCCAATTCATTTTCCTTCCTTCCTTCCCTCTCTCCCATCTCTCTGCCACCCATCTGACATATATGACTCTGGGGAACACACAATAGAATGACAACACATATTTTATACATACTATCACATAAAAACATTCCTACAGCACCAGGTTTAACGAATTGCAATTGCTTGGTTGTCTCAACACGCTAAACCCAAAACGAGCAGAATGTTTGGATCTGGGCAGAGTCAGCTGAAGGAGGACACTGCATCTGCTCTTGGGCTGTGCTCATTTATCAGGCTAATGTTTGGCTTAATTTGTCATATCACTGTAGTTTGTTCAGCAAACCTGGGCTAACCCAACTATGGCTTGGCCTGGATGCCAACCCAATCACAGGGGGCAGAGAAAGAGGTCCCTTCCAGCATGGTAGCCTCACCTGCAGCAGACATCAAAGGGGTCAACCCAGATGGTCATCTCTTTGGGCAAACCCAGGCTGTGAAAGTCCACGTTGCTCGCACTGCATGCTTGGTCCAAGAGCGGATCTTTTGCCTGCAAGTGGTTTAGCCTGATGCACCTGAAAAGAGCTGGGCAGATTAAAATGCTCCCCCACCAGTACGAACAGGAAGGCCATCAAGATATGTTCCTCTGTGTTAACCCCAGTTGAGAGGGGGAGGCCAAGCAAAGGTGCCCGAGAACCCGTGAAAGGCATCTGGGACAATGGAGCCCTGAGCAAAGATCCAGACTGACTCAGTTCCCGTCCACATTCAGACAGACAGACAGCAGCAGGAGCAGCAGCAAACAGGCAGCTCCATCCCCACCAAAGGCTAAGTTTTGCTCATCTGAACCCCTATGCATACTTTTCAGGGCTTACGGGTTGTGTGAATGCAGCCTATGTTAGTTTATGAGTCGATATAGCCCAGAAAGGGTTATTCCAGGAACTCAGTTACATTCCTTATATCCGTGGTGGCGAACCTATGGCACGCATGCCAGAGGCGGCACGCAAAGCCATCTCTGGTGGCATGCAAGCCGTTGTTGGGGCGAGCTGCTCCCTCCTCCTCTCTGGGCATGCACAGCATTCCACAGAGCTGCACATGCGCAGCTCTCCGTACATGCGCAATCTGGGAATAGGCAAGAGGCTATAAAGGGAGCAACTTTTGGTGGAAGCAGGCACGGAAAAGGAGGCAGCAGCCCTATGTGCGTCCCCATGCGTGAGCATGCCCCTGCCCTAACAGGCAAGCAGAGCCGCAGCATCTTTGGCAGAAGAGCGCAGGCAGGCAGCAGAAGGCACGAGGAGCCCCACTCCCAGCACAGACCCTCCTCCCCTCCTTGGAAGAGCTGCAGGGTTCAAGAGCCTCCCCCCATGCCCCCCACCCGCTGAGCAAGATACCCTCCTGCCCACTGCCCCACCCGCCAAAGCAATATCGAGTTGGGCATGCCCACCATGGCCACGCCCACCCAGTCTACCATTTCCACCATAGCCATGCCCACTCGGCACCCAGTGATATGTAAGTGGGTTTGGGGTTGCAGTTTGGGCACTCGGTCTCTAAAAGGTTCGCCACCACTGCCTTATGTTAAATCCAGTCAGAATTATACCAAGGCAGCAAAACCAGATAGAAACTCAGCTGCTCGGTTTGCCAATGCTCAAAGTCCCAACCCTGTGTGTGTGTGTGTGTGCGTGCGCGCGCATATAGCCCCACAATCTCTGGCTTCGGTTGCAAAGCCATCTTCTCATCAAGTCCAGGAAGCAGCTGTCCAGGTTGGGTTGACCCAAGAAATCCAAGGTGCTTATGAAGAGGTCCTGGCCATAGGACCTTTTGCTCCATGTGATACAAATCTAGCCAGGGAAGCTGAAAAATGGGGCGGGGCAGATTAGGGGATCAGGAAGACCCCAAACCATCTTCTAACCAGGGAAAGTGGGGTCGCACTGCTTCTCACCAGCAAGTACTTAATCAGGTGGCCCAACGGTAGCCTCTGGGGGTGACTTCAAGCAGCTCTCTTCATTGGCTCCCATATTTTGGGGAGGAAAAATACAGATTGTGATTGGCTGAGAATTTTGCTGGGGTGGATGGGGAGACATGAGGTGGGGCTGCTTTAGGGAGGGGCACGCCCCCATTTTGCAGAACTAGACCAAGAGCAGCTCCCCTAGGGGCCTCTTACCGGAAGCCTTGTCCTTTTGTGGGGTTGTCGAGATACCAGTGGTTTTTATACCTCTCGAAGAGAAGGGTGGTCAACGTGGATGCAAACATCTCCATTTGTTGCTTGTTCAGCTTGTTGTGTCTTTTGACCAGGCGGGTGATGAAGAAGACTGTGGCTGCTATTTCATCCTTCATGCCGTCCCTTCTGCAAGAGGACCCCCACTGCTGGAACACAACTGGGGGGGGGATTGGAGCAGAGGACTCGCAGTCATCCCTGTTCCTGTAACCAGCAGGAGTTGTCATGTCTCACAACTACCTCAGCTTGCTGTGCCAAAGGCTTTGGATGTCACCTTTTGTGCATTCATATCACACATCAAGCTATAGTTTTCTAATAAAGGAGAATATTTGTAGGTCAGAGTTGAAATGAGGGGTCCTTGGTGCTCTCTGAGCTTGGTTGTTTTCTTGCGAAATGTCACATTACCCAACTAGGTAACATCATCAGTACTAGTAGTACTGATAATGTTACCTAGTTTGGGTAATGAAACTTCTGCAAGAAAACAACCAAGCTCAGAGAGCACCAAAGACCCCTCAAACTATAGTTTGCTTATTCAGTTGGGGAAAAAAGCCACAATTGCTTAGACTCACAGATCAAGCCATAAATGATGGCTGTTACCATTAAGGAGAAGATCTTAAACAATCTGAGCCAAGCGCAATTTGCTTACACTTAGTGTGAAATGTGATGCTTCTTTGGTTAAAAGCACACAAACCAAGAATTGGAGTTATTTTTTTAAATGAGATATCCAGTCCTTCCTATCATTGGCTGTGCTGCCATGTTCAGACTCTCGCAGCCATGTATCTGCCACAAGCTTTGGATGTGGACAGTTTTATTGTTCCCTACTTCTGATATTCAAAGGAAGCCAACATTATTCCCAACCCGTTGCTCTCCAGATACTATTATTAAAACTTAGCTAGCTAGAATAACAACTCCCATCCTCCCGAGCCAATACAATCATGGGGTATATTGACCAGGGAATGCAGACATTGCATGCAAGATACTTAACCACTGGCCAAGGAGAATGAGAACGTTAGTACCACTTCCATGTTTGGCTTGGACCAGGCTTTCTCAGCCTGGCTGTGGAATTCTGGGAGTTGAAGTCCACATGCCTTAAAATTGTCAAGTTTGGGAAACACTGATCTATAATATACAAGACCACTCTCAAATACTCAGTATTACAAGGCTACCTGGAACATTTAACCATTGTTGATGGTTAATTGACAACAACTGGCTCTAACCCAGGAAGTTAAATTAATGTGGATTAGTGGGAAGGAAGTAAAACATCCTTACACTAATCCACATTAAAGCTGATACCTAAGAACCTAGTCATGGGGACAAAACAATATTACCTAGGCACACCCCTGAAATAATCTAGAATTACCTTCAGAAAAAGATCACAGGTGAGCTGGTCAAATATGCACAGATTGGCTGAGAATCCAGGGGTCCTAGCCAAAAAACAGATAAACCAGCTTGCTTGAGATTATTCAGCTACCACTCACAGGTGTTTTTCCCTCTCAAACTCGGCAACACTCCTTCTGCTAGCCAAATAGCTTTCTTGCTCACCTTTCGGGCTTATATAAGGAGAGGTGGAGCTTTTACAGCTGTAACAGGTGTGTGCCATAGAGGTGAGTGAGCATCTAAATCAAGGAAGCCCCCAAATTAGATTTCTTTTCCCTGCAGCCCTCAGGCTGGGTCTAAAATCAGCAGGATTTCCATCACTGGAGGTTTAAAGAAAAGATTGGACAAATTTCTGTCTCAAATAGTCTAGGGCAGGGGTCCCCAACCTTGGCAACTATAAGACTTGTGGACTTCAACTCCTAGAATTCGTCAGCCAGCTTTGCTGACTGAGGAATTCTGGGAGCTGAAGTCCACAAGTCTTAAAGTTGTCAGGGTTGCAGACCCCTGAGCTAGAGAACAAGAAAAGGTGTCCCTTGTTTAATTATTAATAGTTTTACAGGTAGTCCTTGACTTACAGCCATTCAGTAGTGACTGAAATTACAACAGCACTGGAAAAAATCACGTACACTTACTCACAATGATTGCCAACCATCCCAGATGGTTGTCCATTTGCAACTGTCCCAGCCAGCTTCTGATAAGCGAAGCTGAAGGGGAAAGCCGGATTTGCTTAACAACCATGTGATACATTTAATGGCAGTGATTTGCTTAACAACCACAACAAAAAAGGTGACTCGCTTTAACAACTGCCACACGTAGCAGTGGAAATTGTGGCCCCAGTTGGGATCATAAATTGAGGACTATCTGCCATGAGGCTGCCCAGTCCAGTGATGTGACTTCTTTGGGCCTTGATTGTCCATGAAATCGTCAAGAGGTGGCACCAGAGTGGCTTCTCCTTGACCTCTTGAAATGGACCTTCTTTCTTCTCTCCAAGAAAACCTCAGCCCTTTCTTCACCCTGAGGGGCAGGTCATATTCTTTGAAAATTATGAGGTCATTTAAAGAAGAAGAAGAGGAAGGAAGGAAATAAATTAGGGATAAAGGAAGGAAGGAAGGAAGGAAGGAAGGAAGGAAGGAAGGAAGGAAGGAAGGAAGGAAGGAAGGAAATGAAAGGGAAGGGAAGGGAAGGGAAGGAAAGGAAAGGAAAGGAAAGGAAAGGAAAGGAAAGGAAACTCTTTGTCTTTTCCAGATTTTTGGATGGAGTACCAATTTCAGTCCAAGCATTCCTTAATAGATTAAATTCTGGGTCTCCCTCTTCTGCAGGCAAGTCCAGACAGGACTGTAAGCCAAGCCCTGCATCTGTTCTCTAGCAACAGCAGGCTTGGCTTGGAGCAAACATTGGCCTCCTGAATGCAGGAAGATGGTGGATGGGACTTTCTTTGGACTTTCCTGCACCAAGAGAAAGTCTAAGGTCCTACCAGACTCTGCTTCCTAAAATGTTCATCTTCAGCAGCATGGCATGGAGGTTTCCAGAGATGGAAAATGAGTGGAATGGGCCAGAAGAAAACTTTCTTGGGGTTGGGAAGGAAGATGGGGGAAGAGCAGAAGAGAAGATGGTCCTTTCTGACAGGTAAAATGGGCAACAGGATAAGAGGTGCCTGGGAGGAGCCTGGCATGGTTTGGCTGAAATCTTCAACCTGGTCCTGGTGGGATCCAGGAAGTATAATATGTAAGTAAATGGTTCTTATCATCTTCTATGCAGTTAATAAATAGGCATCTTCTAAATATATTTTTTTATTTTTACACTGACCAACCTCTCTCTGTAAGGGGAGATGGACAGTTCCTAAATTTGATAAATAGCTTTGTTCAGGGACAACTTTTGGTGCTGGCATTGGAGCATTAATGCTAGACCATATCCATCCGTTGACTAATGTTTTACAACTTTACTAATCTCCTTTCCCAAGTAATAAACTATTGGTTCTTAAAACAATTGTCTGGATTCCAGGCGTTCAAAACCTGCTTCCTTTTCAATGGTCAACCCTAATGGAAACTACGTTTAGAAATGGTTTCCGTATTTAAACGCTAGTTGGTTGTGTGTCAAATTTTAAGACGTTTATTCTTAGCAAATACTGGATATGCTCCTGATCTGCTCTTCAGAGTTTTCCTATCTTAGAAACATTTCATTTGACCTACCAAGGAATGTATGCAACATTTCAGTTTTAGTAATGCTACTATTCCAAATATATTTACACACTGATCAGATGGATTATACATCCAGGTCGATATCTATCTTGTTTGTTTGTTTGTTTGTTTGTTTAGATTAATAGAGCCGGCCATCTCACTTGTGTAACAAGCTGAAGATGCACCTAGTTGTGAAGTCCTGACACTTGGATATTCTGTAAAACTGCACTGAATTGGTCAACCTAATTTATTCTACCTCAGTGTTGCTCGACCTCTGTCACTTTAAGATGTGTGGACTTTTACTTCCCAGAATTCCCCAGCCCCAGTGTGCTTTAGGATGGATAGGCTTTTCAATTCCCAGAATTCCCCAGTCAGCAGTAACTGGCTGGAGAATTCTGGGAGTTGAAGTCCACACCTCTTAAAATGGCGGAGGTTGAGAAACACTGTTCTACCTCATCTCCCTTCACTAAATCTCCCCCTGGCTCTTTGCCTCATGCGGTGTGAAATATACGTGAACCAGACTCTTAAAGCAAATTAAGGGAGGCTCAGAATCAGGGCCTTCCGCTCTTTGAAGAAAAGCTAGGCTGTAAATGCAATTCCATCCATCAGTCTGAATTCCCAACGCTAAATCCTTGGCTTTCGGCACTGCCAAACCATCACGCTTCATTTCATGATGGTCTAGGCAGTAGTCTAAGTGGAGGGCCCCCAAGAAGGACGTTCAGCCTCTTCTCTGCTGGCCTCATAGCTTCACTTTGCTAACACCTGTCCTCGACTTACAATCACAACGGGGGACCAGAATTTCCATGGCTAAGCAAGGCCATTGTTAAGCGAGTCACAGACAATTTTGCAGCCTTTTTTTTTTTTTTTTGCCAGAGTTGTTCAGCAAATCACCTTGGTTAAGTGAATTACTTGGTCGTTAAGTCACCCCACCTTCCCCCACAGACTTGGCTTGTCAGAAGCCAACTGGGAAGGTCGCAAATGACGTTCGCAGGACCTTGGGATGCTGCCACCATGACAAATACATGTCGGCTGCCGAGTGCTTGTATCGTGAACACATGACCGTGGGGATGCTGCAACCGTTGGAAGTAAGAGGGCTGGTGAGAAGTCACTTATTTCAGGGCCGTTTTTATTTTTCAAACCGTCACTAAACGAATAGTTGGAAGGCAAGGCCTTACCTCTAAGAGCGTCAGGTTGATTTCAAAAGTCCTGAAATTCCACTTCCTGCTCCTGGTGTGTTTGGGAGGTCCATGGAAACGTTGCATCCTTCAGTCACCACAGGGAGAAGCCAACCTGCCCCCTTTCAGAGGGCTGAGCTGGGCTTGATTTGTAAGCCACACCTGACCATCCATGGTTACAGAGTTGCATACAAATCCTAGGATTGGATCTTTGGGGCCAACCTCAAGACCAGACAGGCAGCAGTTGAGACGGGTTGGATCTGCCTGTAATTTTGAGTTCTTTCTCTTACCAGGTTTAGAATTCATAGCTGAAGTTGGTCAAGAATGCTGGTTTAGAGATCCATCCTAGAAGTCCCTCTTAGAAGTCCTGGGATGTCTCTTCTGCTTTCAGAAGCCAAGATGATGCAAAGATTATCCCTTTGAGAAGAAAATTGAAGAGCGCCATTGATTTTTCTTTTACTCCTTCCCAGCTCAAGGTTTGAAACCGTGCCAGCCTTTCACATTGAATTACCCAGGTGGCTGATACCACCAGAATTATATCAAGGTAAGCTTCTCATGGACATATTCTAAACTTCCTTTTTTATGGTCTTGTTCCAGAAGCTTGTGTTGAAGGAATCACCTCAATCTGTAAACCAGAAGTCTATGAGGAACACACAATATTTTTTTTTTTGAGCTCTGTTCTAAACGCTAGTGCTGTTTTCTGTTGCTTCAGAAGCATTTGACTAAAGGGTTCAGTGAAGGTGGCCTGGCACAGGAGACCAAGCTTGGGAGAGGGGAGATGGTGAAGGTCTTGGAATCCCACATTCCCAGTGTTGAAAGGCACAAGGTGGTATGAAGAGCAGTTGTGGCCTTCAAGGTCCTACAGAAATGAAAAACAGATCCCATGCCAACAAAAAGCCCTTCCCAGGTCTGCTTGGAAGATAAGCTGAGTTTAAATTCAGGGTGAAGCTTAGCAGGGCGAAAATGGCTGAGTGATAGAGCAACTGCAGAAAATTAACTAACCCTGCCAGCTTGAAGGGAGGACTTGCTTACTGCAGATCTGAGGTGCAATAAATTGTTTAACTTTCTGTAGAAAAACACTGTAATTTTTACAGGTGAAGTTGCTTCCCTCTTTCTTAAGTCTATACTTAGTCCCTGGCACTGTTCATTTATAGAGGGCAAAATATAAGCAAATTAATTCAAGCATAGCACCAGATTGGGGTTAGATTGGTCTTTGATTCCAGGGATCCCAGGTACAGCAGAATCTTAGAGAGAGGTTTTATGTATCATGCACAGTAAAACTAGCATGCTTGATTAGTGGATATTCCAGATTAAACATACATATTTATAATGACTGTTACAGAACTGAGTAAAGAGTTGGGGTATTCAGCCATCTCCCACTTAGACTCACAAGATAAGCCCTGCAGACTTTCCAAGTCTATTTCCGGCAATCTTAATGTCTAGAAACTTCAAAATAGAAAAAATGAAGGAACTCAGCAGGCCAGGTTCTTGTTACAGGCTGCTGTTTCTTAGATCATGATCCAAGAAATTTGGACTTGATATTTTTACTATCATGAATTGCAAAGGAACAACTGTTGATCCCTCGGTGTGTGCTTGTGTGTATTTTTCAGGTTGGATCCTGCAGATAATCACGTTTGGTTTGTAGGCAGTGTAATTAGTTGATTGTGTATTCCTCTAGCAATCACTAGCTTCACTGTCATCAAAACAATGTGCAGAATTCTCCAGGTTGCTTCCCAGAAGCCAGTTCCCAGCTGGAAACCTAAGGAGTTGCCATTGTTCAGATCTCCTATTCAAATTATTATTTTATTATTCAGATCCTCTGTTCCATGTTAGAGGTTACCAACTCAACAGCAAGGAAGACAACCAGTCATGAGGAAATGCTGGCACAAAGAAATAGTGAAGACACTCCCAACTTCTGCATAGCTTTGTGATGACTACACAGTGAGGACAATGAGCAAATTTCAGGGTTCTCTTGTGGCAGATTTCTGGCAGGATTAACGGGATGTTCTGGTTGACATTCATGATATTCAAGAGCTATAAAGCAAGGCTGGTATGAAGAGCAGCTGTAGCCTTCATGGTCCTACCAGAAATGAAAAACATCCCATGCCAACAAAAAGCCCAGGGGTGGGTCTTCTGCCCTGGTGAATTGGGTGATGGTGCTGCTAATGGTACCAGATGGTGAAGTTCTTAAACCAGTGATCTTTGCTCGGTCTCTGGTCTTCTACTCATTGGATTACAATTTGCATTTCATCCTGGTAGAACAAACTGGGGATCTTAAGAGAATCCAGATTTAATCTCTTTGGAAACCACTGGTGGAACCTGGATGGTCTCTAAAGACAAAGGAAGAAGAGGAGGAATTAGGCCATTGGACCCAAGCCTGAACATCAGCCTGGTCACCAGGCAGTGTAGTTAGCTGATTGACCAAACCAACAGTCGCTAACAACACAGCCAAGTGAAAAGGCGGCCTCTCCCTTCAGTTCCGCAATCGGCTGAATGGACTAAGCGACTTCTACAGGTTGAAGAGCAGAAGATACCCTGCGTAGGAGATACCATTTGTGCTCAGGATGGTCACTACTATGAAGTGGTGTTCCTCAACCATGGTGACTTTAAGATGGGTGGATGTCAACTCCTAGAATTCTGGGAATTAAAGTCTCTAAAGTTGAGAAACATTGTAAAATGTAAATCTGCTGATCCCATCTTGATGTTCTCCAGAGCTGTTGAAGCTGCTCTTCTCAACATTACCTAACCAACATAGCTACAGGAGGGCCCCAGGTTAGGGAAAGCTGGAGGAAAGATTTGAGGGATGAATTCTTGAGAGTAAGTTGTATCTCAGTCCTCATTAACAGTCATTTCACTTAATAGGAAGCCCTGTTCTGATTTATTAACTTTCTATTCATTTAGACTGCAGTTCCCTGTCCAGATGGATGGTAATTAAATTTCTGGTTGATCAATGTGGGTCATTTACGGGCAGTGTTGTGGCTTAACAAGAGTGCTGACAGCTCATAATATTTGACTGACGGTCAGTTCCTAGGGGAGCTTGATATGAATCCAAAAGACAGAAGGAGACTAATGAACAAAATGACTAATTCTGCTTCCCTTCCCTTTTAGCCAGCAAAGCAGAAAGAATTAAGACTTGTGTGTATGGAAAGAACAAAGAGTAAAAAAATAATATTTTGGAAAAGGGTCTTGTTAAAAAGTTTTGGTATGTACCTTAAGAAGTCTTCTCTTCAACATCTATTGTTCCTTTGAGATATCTCTCCAATAGGTGAATTTTAATGTTGGAAATAGTATTAGAGTAAAAACAGTATATGCACTAAATAATATGAGAATATTTGTATGATCACCATGCTTAGATGGAATTCCGGTCGGGTCTTATAAAAAATATGAGTGTTACTACAATGAATAATGTTGAATTCCTAGTAAGTAGTAGAGTATGAAAGAAGGAAAATGTAAATAATGGGGCAATAAAGACAAATATTTCGAAGAAGAAAGAGGGGGGAAATGTAAAGAATAGAAGAGTACTATTACAAACTGCTGTTAACAAAAAAGGATATATTACGTTTGTATGTGTGTAATGTTGCTGTGTTTTGTTTTGTTTTGTTGGTCTAAAATAATAATAAAAAAGAAAAAAAGAAAAAAAAGAGATATCTCTCCAATAAACGCCAACATTAAAAAATCTTTGCTGACCTCCTTTCTAAGAAACTATTGTCATACTGTTTCCCAGGTAAAGTAAGGACAGGTAAAACAACGTTGTACAGAGAGTCCGCAATTTATGATTGCTCACTTAGCAACTATCTGAAGGTAGGATGGACCCCCCCAAAAAAGGAACCTGCAACCTGTATTCAAGGTTCTGATGGCCACCCCCCTCCCCCAACCCACAGTCACATGATTGCATTTTGGGTGATCAGCAATTTATGGCCACTTGGAGCATCCCAAAGTCACGTGATTGCAATTTATGACATGTTTTCTCAAAACCAGATGGTTTCTGCCCCCCCAAAAAACAAAAAAACCCGATAGTTTCTGGCTCGCTGCTGCGTTCACTTAACAACCGCTGCCAAAAAAAAATTGTAAAATCGGGCAGGATCGTGTGATGACCTACATAATGACTGGCAGAATTGACGACCATAATTCTTGATTACAGTTGTCAGTTGAGGACTATTTACAGTCCCAAGTCCCCAATGGGACGTTCTCTTGTCATTGCTCCTGCTTGAATGGGGGGGGGGTCTGGAATTCTGCCTTAGACCTGCACACAGCAGCCTTTTGTTCTCAAGGAACAAATAGCCCTTATCACATTATGCTGGATTACTGGAGTTTTACGTCAAGTGCTTCTCAGTCCAGGACATGACCAAAAGCACACCCTGGAAATACAAGAGGACATGATCATTCAGCAATGGCACAGACACTGTTATAAGAAGCATAAGTACACCAACTTTCATTAAGCAGATATCTGGATCTTGATTTTCCAAATGGCTTCTGCAGGACTCTAGCATTTCATAAAGACTTCAATGGCTTCTGCAGGATGGGGGGGGGGAAGAGGGGGTGAATAACCTGCAAGGTGCTAAGCCTTAAACTCCCTCCAAAGTACTTAGGAAAAAATAATAATAAAGCCTGGGCTACTCACTCTCTATTGTTATGGAGGCAATAAACTAGAGTGATATTTCTCAACTCTAGCAATTTGAACATGGGTGGACTTCAATTCCCAGAATTCCCCAGCTGGCAGTGTTTCTCCACCTTGGCAGCTTCCATGCTGGCTGGGGAATTCTGGGAGTTGAAGTCCAGCAGGCTTAGTTGCCAAGCCTGCAAAAGACTCACCTAGGCTGCTTAGTTGACGGGTGGGAGAAGGCTGCCAATCTTGGCCGTGGGGTATAAGGAATCGTGGACAAACCGCACCAGGCAAAAGCCCACAATATAAAAAAGCTATTGAGACTCTAGAAAGAATGCAGAGAAGAGCAACGAAGATGATCAGGGGACTGGAGGCTAAAACATACGAAGCTTGAGGGATTGGGCAGTCTAATGAAAAGGACTAGGGGAGACATGATAGCATCTTCCAGTATTTGAGTCTTGTAGAAAAACGTAAGAGACTTTTACGAATTCCAAAGGGTGTAGCAGAGAGATTTATTTTGCGCAAGGTTCAGAAGCAATTAACAACCAGCAATTCTGAACAAAGAGGCTGGGTTCAAACTACAGTTTCATACTTTCCATTTCTCAGGAACGAAGAACCATACATAAACCTACATTGTATTTCCTTCGGTTTGTTTCTCACAGGCATACAATGAAGAGAGTTTTGCTTCATACAATGTTTCTAAATGCCCTGCACATTTGGTTAGTCACAGATTGCTTATACAGTTTTATTGCAGTAACTATGCAGACACATCATTTTTCTTTTAGTGATTTTTCATTATCATTATTATTATTCCACTTTATTCTACTTTATTCTTCATTATTCTTTATTATTCCACTTTATTAGGGGCTGCCCCAAAGAGGGCCCCCCCTATTTTCCAAAGCAACTGAAGGCAGGACAAGAAGCCACGGATGAAAACTATCCGAGGAGAGAAGCAACCTGGAACTAAGGAGAAATTAGTGATAACGAGAACAATTAGCCGGTGGAACTCCTTGCCTCCAGAAGTTGTGGGTGCTCCAACCCTGGAGGTTTTTCAGAAGAGACTAGACAGCCATTTGTCTGAAATGGTAGTGAGTCTCCTGCTTGAGCAGGGGGTTGGACTAGAAGACCTCCGAGGTCCCTTTCCAACGCTGCAACCGAATAACAGAATAGCAGAGTTGGAAGGGTCCTGGGTCCTCGGAGGTCTTCTAGTCCAACCCCTTGCTCAGACAGAAAATCTTAGACCGTTCTGGACAAATGATTATAAGTCCAGTCTCTTCTTGAAAACCTCTCTGACGGTGATTCTTTTATTCTGTTTCCCCGCCTCGGAGCCTCCGGTCCAGCAGCCCCCCCGCCCCAGGGGACGCCCGTCGGGGGAAGCAGGCGCGGCAGAAGCGGCGCCCGCGGGCGTCGACCGAATGCTGCCCCCCCCCCCGAGCCAACGGCAGGGCCGGCCAGCCGGAGCGGCGCGCGGAGCCATGGAGACCGAGCGGCCACCCGCGCCCGCGCCCTCGGCCATGGCCACCGCGCCGCCCGCGCCCTCGCCCTCGCCCGCCGGCTCCGCCGCCGCCGCCCCGCTGGCCTTCGCGGGCTCCAGCGATCAGGACGTGGCGCTGGCCAAGTCCTTCTGGAACTCGGTCACCCTCCAGCCGCCGCTCGAGTCCCGGCTGGGCGCGCGGTGCGGCTCGCTCTGCGACGGCGCCTCCTCCCAGCGGCGGAGCTCGACCGGTACCCGCGGCGGACCTGGAGGGAGGGAGGGAGGGAAGGAGGGAGGGAGCCGCCGGGCGGCGGGAGATCCGGCCCGGGAAGGCTGCGTGGCTTCCGCGGCTCGGCTTGAGGTCAGCCGGGGAGGAGGCGCAGAAGGGGGGGCGAGGGCCGAGATGCCCCGCTTGGGGGAGGGGAGCGATAGCCGCAACGCTGGGCATCAGGGCGGCTTAACAGAGTTGGAGGGGACTTCGGAGGTCTTCTAGTCCAACCCCCTGCTCAAGCAGGAGACCCTATGCCATTCCAGACAAGTGGCTGTCCAGGCTCTTAAAAGCCTCCCGGGAGGGAGGAAGGAAGGAAGGAAGGAAGGAAGGAAGGAAGGAAGGAAGGAAGGAAGGAAGGAAGGAAGGAAGGAAGGAAGGATAGCAAAGTAACAGAATAACAGAGCTGGAAGGGACCTTGGAGGTCTTCTAGTCCAACCCCCTGCTCAGGCAAGAGACTGTATGGCAGTGTTTCTCAACCTTGGCCATTTTAAGGCATGTGGACTTCAACTCCCAGAATTCCACAGCCAGCATTGCTGGCTGTGGAATTCTGGGAGTTGAAGTCCACATGCCTTAAAATGGTCAAGGTTGAGAAACACTGCTCTATACCATTCCAGAAAGTGGCTGTCCAGGCTCTTAAAAGCCTCCAGGGAGGGAGGGAGGGAGGGAGGGAGGAAGGAAGGAAGGAAGGAAGGAAGGAAGGAAGGAAGGAAGGAAGGAAGGAAGGAAGGAAGGTAACAGAATAACAGAGCTGGAAGGGACCTTGGAGGTCTTCTAGTCCAACCCCCTGCTCAGGCAAGAGACTCTATGCCAGGGGTAGGCAACCTCGGCTCTTTTATGACTCATGGACTTCAACTCCCAGGGTTGCCTACCCCTGCTCTATGCCATTTCAGACAGGGGGCTGACTAATCTTCCTCCGCCTGGTGTTGCAGTGCTTCTTCTGCTTGGCTTCTGTTCTCTTTGCACCGCATTGCCCCTTCTCCTTCGGAGGAGTTCCTTTTCCTTGGTCACTCCCAAACCTGCCCGGAATTTCCCCCTAGGAATTGGCCTGCATGGCAAGGGGGGAGGGTTAGGAAGAGAGGCTGCAGTTTTACATTATCTATGGAGCGGGTCAGTTAATGCGGATCCTGCGGGAATCATTTCTGAAATTATCTGCAAAGCTGTTTTCACATCGGTCTATCCATGTTGTGAAATGCCCATCCTGGAAGGTGGGAAAAATAATCCCACAAATGTTCAATGGAGAATCTTAATTGGTGATTTCAATCTGTTGCAATTTTTTTTTTTAAGGGAAAACCAGCCATTTGTCTATTGCATCCTTAGTGAGTGACAGTGAGTATGTGGTTTTACCGAAAGTTTGGATATTTATCGTAATAGAATCTGAAGCCAAACCATTAACACCTCGAACTCCTTGTAAGAGGCACGCCCTGATGCCAATCAAGTGATGCCAATCACACCCAATGCCAATCAATTGATTCAGTCCAATGCTTGACCTGGTAGGTGATCTTGCCCCAGGCAGCAGATGGAAAGGACAGCATTTTTAATTGGCATTATTTGAAAAAACAAATAAACTTATTTTTATTGCAAGAACATGGATCAGGAAGACACATCTCTGGTATCTTTCTGCAGCTGACTTTCCTATACTTCTGTAATTTGGGTGAACAACTATGGCCCCTTTAGGACCTGTGGATTTCAACTCCCAGAATTCCTGAACCAGCACAGCAGGCTCGGGAATTCTGGGAGTTGAAGTCCACGGATCCTAAAGGGGCCATAGTTGCCCACCACCCCTGCTCTAACCCAAAATGCAATTTGTTGTTTTTGACTAAGCTTGATATGTAAATGCAGAATATGGGCACTTTATTCAACCAGCCGTACATAAGCCATGATTTATATGATGTGTAAACCCAGTCAGGAAACTTTCAAACACAACTGTGAATTGTCTGTTGTTTAAACTAATGGTTGCAGGTCACTTTGTTGGCTTAAAACATTTTTCTTTTGCTTTTTTTTTTTTTAAGAGGATTTGAGGATGAGATCAAGGGGATCAAAAATGGAAAACTTAACTTTCTGCAGGACTTTTAGCAGAAACCCTGTTCTTCCTTTTAGCTGCCCTTCTTGTTCTTCCTTTGGGCTAACTTGTGCATCCACTGTTATTAAATATCTTTGTTACTGTCGTTTTTCCTGGCAAAAATAATTGTTACTCCAGAAAATTCCAAGAGCAGAAAATCAAGAGTTTGGTAGACTCTTTTCGGACTAAGCAACAACTCACAAAAACTGATGCCTTTTTATAAAACCCTTCTCATTTTGGGCTGCCGTAAACTCTCCTGCTTACAAATCCCATATCCAGGGTTGGAGACATTCTACTTGAAAAATAATGAAAGATGATTTAATTTAGACTGAATTTAAAATGATTTCTTTGGAAATGATTCTTTAGAAAGAGAGGAAGACAAACACTCGGAAACTGAGAAGGATGTCTGGAAAGAACATTGTCTGGAAAAGGTGAGTGGATTCTGCTGCTTCTCAGAACTAGCTCCATTCTAAACTTTATTGTTGGTATTATAGATAGTCCTCGACATAAAACCGCTTGCTTAGTGACCATTTGAAGTTACAGCGGCATTGAAAAAAGTGACTTCGACTGTTTATCACACTTAGAACCGTTGCAGCCTCCCCATACTCAACGTGATCAAAATTCGGACATTTTGGCAACTGACTCATATTTATGACGATTGCAACATCTTAGGAGGTCATGTGATCCCCTTTTGCGACCTTCTGATGAGCAAAATCAATGGGCAAGCCAGATTCACTTAACAACCAGGTTACTAACTCAAGAGCTGCAGAGATTCACTTAAGAACGACGGCAAGAAAGGTCATAAAATGGGGCAAAACTCACTTAACAGCTGTTCCACTCAGCAACAGGAAATTGTGTGCTCCCTTGTGGCCGTAAGCTGAGGACTACCTGTATCCCTTTCAGCTTCTGGGGAAGAGGGTTAGAATTCAGAGCTGTTGCATGCAAGTCGGTGTTTCCCCTGGGGGGGGAGGGGAGAAGGCTGCCCAAGGTGATTCCCGTGCTCTGAAAATCAGCCCCCTCCCTCCAGCCTTGTGGAACAGAGCAGCCGGCCGATGACCCCTTTGGAAAGTTGCTGAGATGATTGGACTGCCTTGCAAATCCGAGAGGAAGGAAGAACTGGACCAGAAACAGAAAGGGCGGAAGTATTCCCGCCGCTTCCACGGGGCTGGGGCAGCACCGTCTGCGAGAACAAGAAGAAAATGTTTTGACATGGCTGGATCATAGGCTGGTAGTCCTCAGCTTACGAGCACAGCTTAGCCCAAAATGTCTGTTGCTGTTTGTTAAGTGGGTTTTGCCCCGTTTTACGACCTTTCTGGCCACAGTTTTTAAGGGAATCACTGCAGTTGACCAGTTAGCAACCGGGTTGTTAAGCAAATCTGGGCTCCCCCTGGATTTTGCTCGTCAGGAAGTCGCAAAAGGGGATCACATGATCCCGGGGCCCCACAACGGTCATAAATGTGAGTCAGTTGCCAAGCGTCTGAATTTTAACCAGGTGATCAGGGGGGGGAGGCTGCAACCGTCGTAAGTGCGAAAAATGGTCAATGATGTTGTAGCTTTTTTTTTTAAAGAAAATTTTATTGATTTTCTAGTTTTACATTTAAGTATTTAAAAAGCAACGTGGCGGCTGAGTTAATCGATAATTCAATGACATGCAAGTATCTTTAGTACAAGTCTCAAACTACCACATTAAATATTTCCTCTCTTTTCCCCTTAGTATTTACTGTCTCATATTTAAACTAATACAATTCTTATTATATTGATTAAATAAAAATAACTTTCTTACATTTATCAATAATTTTTAGCTTATACATATCCTGGTTATTTTAACATTCAGTCTTTATAGACAATCAATGTCCTAATTAGTTTTTCCCAATTTTTAGTTTCCCATTAATATTTAGATTTAACATTTAATATTTATAATTTCCAAATTTTAAATAACCACAGTTATCGCAAAATCTAATGTTCAGGATATATGTCTTATCTATTTGAATATATTCTATGTCTCACCATCTTACATCAACTAATTAATAATACAGTATAACATTCTTATTTTCTGTTAATTTCCAAATGTCTTAAATTTAATAACTAACATTTCAACATTTAGTACTTCCTCTCTTTTTCTCTTGATAATGATGTTGTAAGTTTAAACGGTCACTAAATGAACTAAATGTGAGTCGAGGATTACCTGTATTGCAAAGCACCAGCCTGCTGGCATGTATTGATCCAATGTCCCGGGATCACATGATCCCCTTTTGCGACCTTCTGAAAAGCAAAATCAACCAGGGAGCCAGATCCACAACAACTGTGTGATTAGCTTAACAACGGTGGCAAAAAACCCCACCATAAAAGCAGGTGTGACTCGCCTAACAAATGTCTCACTTAACAACGATTGCAAGAGAGGTTGTAAAATGGGGTAAAACTCACTTTGCCACCCCCTTGCTTAGCAACAGAAATTCTGTCCCAATTGTCATCCGTAACTCGAGGACTCTGTTTCTGGTTTCTCTTTCCTTCAGTGGTGATTCCAAATAGGCCCCCAAGGAATGTGAGGAATCAAGGTTAGCGTCTCTCCCAGAAACAGCCCTTGTGTCAGTTCTAGACTTGCTGGACCCACATCCTTGATAAAGGATGCTGCAGACATAACGGGAAATCAACCCCGGTCTGTGGAGCCCCACGGAGAAACGCATTTGCTCTTTGTTAATTAACTCCTGAAGTCCAGTGTGGAACCCAACTTCTTTGGCCCGTTGGCTCACCACTGCGTAAATAAATCATTAAGCTGATCAATAGGAATAAATAGTGTGATTCACCAGCTAATCCACATTGTATTACAGCAGTCTGCAAAAGTTAAGAGCTACATTAATACAATCTTAAAGGATCCTCCTCCCCCCCCCCTTGTTAAAAAAGGAAAAGCTTTGCAGAGTAAGCATGGGAACTGAGCCAGAGGCAGCCAGTCCCTGGGAGAAGCTGAAATGTGCTGAGCTTTGCAGTTGCTGCCAGCAAACCAGTATTCATATTCGTGGCGATTAATAACCCTCTAATGGATTTGGTCCAGGGGCGTCCATTAGACCTGGCTCAGAGAAATGGGATTATCAGGAGAAGTGGGTCTACTCCCCAAACTCTGCTGTGATTCTCTTAAATAATTCTGCTCAAAGAAATGAGTGCAAGACGGTCAGTTTCATCATCAGTTTAAAAGTAAAGATTACTAGCTTGCAGCCCTGGGCGTTTGTGCTGGTCACCCCACCTTATTCTTAAACCTGTCCGTTTCCTAGGACCCAAAGCCTAATCAGCTTGTGCAGATGTCATCTCTCCTAAATTGAGTTTAATATGAATCCAGATCATTATCCTGGAGCCTTTATAACCGTCTGATAAAGTCACAATCTACAGGAGATTATTCACCTTCGAAGGAAGGACATGGATCCCCTTTGGAGTCTGATGGGGTAAACCCCACACGCTGGTTATCCTGGGATACAAGATCTCAGCTATGCCTCTCAGCCTTGGCCACCTGAAGATGCGTGGACTTCAAATCCCAGAATTCCCCAGCCAGCCACTCTTCTTGGGGCTCTAGAGCAGGGGTTCTCAACCTTGGCAACTTTAAGACTTGTGGACTTCAACTCCCAGAATTCCTCAGCCAGCCACCACACATCTTCAGGCAGCCAAGGCTGGGAAAATACTGAGTCTCAGGAATTAACCCATTCCACTTCCCTCCTTCTAATCACTGCAAACATCTTTCTTCCCAGGCCAAAAAAAGAGAAGACATCATTGCATTACTGAAAAAGCAAAGGGAAGAGAGGATATCGGTAAGATGGCTTTTTAGATTTCCGAATCTCCCTCTCTTGAGGACCAAGCATTGTCCCTTGCTTAGCTTTCTTTCCTCGTTTCCCTACTGCCAGCTGCAGCATGCAACGCAAAACAAGGAATGAGCCAGGGATGCTATTGAATTTGACTGGTTTAATACCCCTGCTGTAATTCAGACTTCTGGAAAGGATGCCAAAGCCTGGCATGAGTTTAGATGGTTCTGCTCCTCAGACAGTTTTGCGGAAACAGAGGACTGGATAGAGTTATTTAAAGGGGATGATTGGTGGGGAGAAGCTGCGTTGATTACATGGAACAGGAAAGAAGATGTTTAGTACATATTTAGCTCAATTGACTTGAACCTATCAAGGACCATTTCGTCCCATTTCTCATTCTTCCAGGTTTGAATCTGTTTCATCAGGTTTCTCTCTGTGTTTCTGATTTTTCTTTATTTATTTTAGTTCACAGGACAATTCTTCAGCATTTTTCTGAATGCTTTCCTTCACGTGTTCTTGTTTTCTAACCAGTTAATGGTATCATGTATTCAACAGTTAATCCTATTGCAAAATTCAAATCCACGGGAACATCTATGACGGAATATTAGTAGCTCAGGGCTGAACTGTGGGGTGCTTGGTGCTCTCTGACCTCAGTGGTTTTCTGGCAGATGGTTCATTACCCAACTAGGTAACATCATCAGTGCTAGAAGGGAATGGGGTTTGTGTCAAGGACCCCAAAGAACACCCCTAAATTTTGCAGTGTTCCCTCCCATTCTGCAAAAGAACAGTTTAAAATGGGTGAAGTTTTCAACAGCTACCTTTTTTCTTTCTTAGAAAGAGTCCTTATCTTATCCACATAAGCCAAAAAGCAGAGCACCACAAAGGTAATATAAACAAGACAAGTTTCTCCTCCTACCTGTTTTAGTTTTTGGTGATCCTTATTGTAAATAAATGCTTTCATGGTTTTAAGGGTATAACTTCTTCCCTCTTCTGTTGATCTCTTTCTTATTTTAGGGACCAGGAAGATGAGAGGTAAATCTCCTGTCTGCTTTGGAGTTATTTCATGCAAACGAGAGAAAGAACGAGAATTCCTGGAATTCAAGATGAGCCCATTTGTCCAGGTTTTTTGCCAAGATATCAACCTGGGGTCTCCCTATATTCTCCAAAGGTTCAAAGGAGACTTTGCCTTTTCACTTTTAAAATGACCTCTCTGAAAAAGCTGATTTGGCCCCTTATACCTCTCAGCAGTTTCTGCCTTTAATTTGTTAATGGCTAGCATTTTTCTCAAGGATGACATGGGAAAATGCCATTTAAGACCCATTTTTACAGTAGTTAAGGTCCTTATTCAAACCTGGGCATTTCTCTGGACTCCAATTATTTCCCTGAGTTCCTGGTGACAACCCTGATCTATTCAGTCAGTTAGACCCACAAATAAGTAAGTTAGTCTTGTTGAAATCACTTGCTTAGGCATGATTTGCCAGCTGACAGATCACATCTCAAGAGCCAGTGAGTTCCACCCACCCTGCAGGGTTTTCCAATCGATTCCTGTTGAACCGAAAAATCCTGTGAAGACCTCGGATTTTTTTTTTTTTAAAAAAAAAAATGCCAGAGTATTTTACAGAGTAAAAAAGTAATTCTACTTACTACATGAAAGAATCTCACTCTATAAGAAACCCCTTTTCCCTGGTCCTTCTTGGTGTCAAACTAGCAGGATAAAGTGCAAAAAAAGCTGTACTTCTGTGTCTTAAAACCGGCTGCCTTTCGGATGGGGATGGTTCCCTAAACAAGGAGGGGGGGGGGTTGTACCCCTAACTCTCTAATCGGTTCATCTTCTATCTAGGCCAGTGTTTCCCAAACTTGACAATTTTAAGGCATGTGGACTTCAACTCCCAAAATTCCACAGCCAGCGTTGCTGGCTGTGGAATTCTGGGAGTTGAAGTCCTCATGCCTTAAAATTGTCAAGTTTGGGAAACACTGATCTAGGCCATCAGGACCTTTTTTTTTTAAAAAAAAAAGCAGGTTTTGAACTTTTCCAAGCTACTGATAGAAGAGAATATTTGTAGCTTGGGGTTAAAGTGTGGGGTCCTTGGTGCTCTCTGAGCTTGGTTGTTTTCTTGCAGACGTTTCATGACCCAACTGGGTAACATCAAGAGTGCTAGAAGGGAGTGGATTTACTTTCTGTTTATATACAGTAGCTTGCCTTGACAGTGTTGGAGGGAGTATTCAACCCCCTAATAAGCAGAGCATACCAAGACCAGCACTCAAGCAGCAAACAATAGCCCAATCAAGAAATTACCAACCCAGACAAACAATCAAACAGTAAATCAAGGAACCACCAAGAACATTCCCACCTATACTGACCGGGCAAGCCACTAGTGCAGTGGTGTGGAACCTCTCTGTGGGCACATGTGCCGTTGCCCCAGCCTTGCCTCCCCCTGCAACCCCTCCTCACCAGCAGCCTTCCTGGAGGAGACTCGCCCCTGAGCGTAGCCCACATGGAGCAACGCAGCCAAGGACATGACAGCCAGGCAGCATAGACAAGACTCTGCCCTCCCGCCCCATCGTGCACAGTTGATGCTGCAGGGCACGGGCAGAGGGTGTGGCCATGGCACTGCTGGGCTGCCTGGGCGATCTGCATTGGGCCCTGGAGGTAGTGAGTGGCCCTGCAGGCAGATGGGGTGGAGCGGGGGCGGGGCAGGAGGCGGGGCCAGTTTTGGGGCACTTGGTCTCTAAAAGGTTCGCCATCACTGCACTAGTGTATAAAAATAAGAGCAAACTCTACTCTCATCTAACACTGATGATGTTACCTAGTTGGGTCAGGAAACGTCTTCAAGAAAACAACCAAGCTCAGAGAACAACGGGGACTCCCAGTTTTCCAAGCTGCAAGATGCTTTGAGATTGGAGATTTTCATGTTGCTGTTGGGGAGGAGGAGATGGGAAGCGTTCCTAATGACTTCCGTGTGTTCTTAATTCCTTTTCTTTAGTTCCAAAAGGGAGAAGGAAGAACTGTCTGAGGATGAAGGCAGTGTAAAGGCATTACCTTGAGGATTTTGATCAGGGTCGCCAACGGAGAATTGAAAGGCCTGTTTGTGCTTTCAACCAGCCTGTCCTTGGTGTCTGACATTAGTTGTGGCTCATTGTTGATGTAGTCCGGCCCCACCCCCTCCCCTTCCACTTCTCTGCATGTTTGACAGGCTAGCTCTCTGCAGGACTGGGATGACCTTTCTGGCCCCCACTGCCCGTGGGACTTACTCCTGTGCAAGAAGGGATATTCAATGCGCTAAACAAGTTTTGACCCAGCAGCCTGCAAGCTGAGATGTGAACGGTTTTGCTTTTAATGGTGATGTTTCTATCACCGTTTCTAGCAGTTGTGTTCATTTGTATTATTTATTCATTTTCTCTTTTTGACCCTTCTTGGGACTTGAATTTCCAGGATTCCCAGCCAGCCAGCAAGAGGAATTCAAGAACTACAATCCCTGGCAGGCCCCCAGGCTGAGAAAAGCTGGTTTTCATCTTAGTACACAGCACGTCACGTTTTGCCAAATAAGCCCTGTTTCTCTCTATTTATTCTGAGTAAGCGGAGCTCGGCTTGCACAGCGTGCTAAAACAACTGGCTCATTACAAATGCCCAAGATTGCCCAGTGAATTTCTGCCTGTGTTTTCTGCTTTTGCCTCCCGGTTCCCTTCCGGCCTTTTGACATAAATGGGCTGAGATGAGTTTGCCAGGGCTGAATCCCTTCCCTTGTCCTTGTCCATGCAGGAAATGGTGCCTTCGGTCGCCAGAAAAGGGGTTTTGTTTTTTTCCTCCTCCTCTTCCAACTTTCCAAAATTGGCCTTAAGAGTTTTTTGGCACTTCAGAGTTGTGGGGAGGGAACACGACAGGGGCTGAAAACCCCACTCAGCCCTCGGTGTGTCAATAAAAGGAATTGCTTCTGTCATTTGGTGTGTTTTGACTGGGGTGTTCAACCCAAGTTCAGAGCTCTCGGTTAACCAAATGCCTGGTCCGCAAGCCAGGAGTTTCTGGCTGGGGATGCATTATCCTGGGATGGCCAATAGATGCAACCTTCTGACAAGCAAAGTCAATGGGATGCCCATAACAACCCTGTTACTAGCATAACAGCCGCAGTGAATCAGTTAAAAACTGTGGCGTGAAAGATCGTAAAATGGGGGGGGGAATCAGTTCACAAAGGCCTCGTTCAGCCACAGAAATTTTGGGCTACAATTGTAGTCATAAGCTGAGTACCAGCTAGCTGTATATGTTTTTCTCTCCAATCCTGAAGACCCACTGAAATCTCTTGCGAAATAGCATTAATAATAATAATAAAGTTGAAAGAGACCTTGGAGGTCATCTAGTCCAACCCCCTGCTCAGGCAGGAAACCCAACCATTTCAGACAAATGGCTGTCCAGTCTCTTCTTAAAAACTTCCAGTCTTGGAGCGTTTACAGCTTCTGGAGGCAGGTTGTTCCACTGGTTAACTGTTCTCACTGTCAGGAAGTTTCTCCTTAGTTCTAGGTTGCTTCTCTCCTTGGTCAGTTTCCATCCGTTGCTCCTTGTCCTGCCTTCAGGTGCTTTGAAGAATAGCTTGACTCCCTCTTCTTTGGGGCAGCCCCTGAGATATTGGAACACTGCTAATCATGTCACCCCTCGTCCTTCTCTTCATTAGACTAGACATTCCCAATTCCAGGGCTGTAACATTTTTATTAGCAGGTTTGATCCAATACAGTCACCCCTCTATGGCTCCCCCCCTCTTTTCCTGACAGCGGGCATAACTTGAAGGCCTGTTTTTGCTGGTCAGCATGAACTGGAGGCAGATTTGTGTGTGGTTGGGGAAGGAATGACTCCGCATAGGTGGGTGTGCACATGCACTCACAGATAACCCCCACTTCATATATTCAGAAACCCACTTAGGAAATTGCTGATGTGGCTTCCAAGGAACGGCAGGCAAAGTTTGAATAGGAGCTGGCATCGTTCAAGTCCAGCCTTCCAAGAAATTCCTCCACGGTTAATAGAAAGATGAGCTTCCTCTGCAGCGTCGCAAGATCACAACGCCACAGCCAGAATTTTGTCAGTGCAGGATAACAGTTTAGTCCCGGTGTTTTTGACTCGGCTGGGTTCATGCATTGTTCTAAGCCAGCGGTTCTCAACCTATGGGTCGCGACCCCATTTGGGGTCGATCGACCATTTTTCGGGGGTCACCAAAGGCAGCGATCCGCCATTTTCTCCCCTCCGGGGGCGGCGCCGTGCATGGGGGTGGCGCCGCACCTCCGGGGGGTGCCGCGCACGCACGCTGCGCATGGGGGGCGCCGTGCATGCGCATAACGTTTGTGTGACGGGGGTTGCCGTCACACAAACGTTGAGAACCGCTGTTCTAAGCCGTTGTTTGTCGAACCACTTATTGAATCCATCCTAATTGACTGGCTCCATACAATGCACTGGAATGCAAGCCACGATGGATGCGTTCACACAACATATTTCAAAGACACTTACATGCAAAACTGCTGTAGTGTGACGCCCAAGCCTGGCAGGCAGATTCAGATCGTGCATTTTGTTGAATAAAGGGTTACAAAGCATAAAATAAGTGTTAAGTGCAAGAATCAGCCTGATCCTGACCTCTGGAGAAGGAGGCACTAGGCATGGCTGGGCTTCTGTTTATGAATCTCACCATCCCCCCAAACTCTCAGATGTTAGAGCAACAGGTCAGAATTGAGCTGGGCACTTTCACTTTAAAAGCTTGTTGGAAAAAATGCTTATTTTCATCCTTTAGCATTGCCACTGCAATAATTCTAGGGGTCGTGGACTACAACTCCCATCACCCAGTGGCTGGGGTATCGTAATCCACTCCAGAGGGTACCAAATTGAAAAGGGTTGTTGCTGAGGTCCCTTTCAACCCTATTATTCTGTGTCCTATGCTTTATATATATGCACAAACACACATATGCACACACGGGGGCCTTGGGAGGGGGAACCCCCATGCTTTGGGCTGCTCCAAAACCACAATAGCACACTTGCAGCTGGAGTCCTTTCCTCCCTCACCCCAACTGGGCATCTGGAAGCTGTTTCCAAACCAGGATGAGTGGAAAGTTGGCCCGGAATCCCGGAAGCTCAGCCTGGCGGTCCAGCTTCCCAGGGCTCAGAAAACCAGCAGGCAAAATGCCCCGTCAGCATCTGGGCAGAAGCCGGTCCTGCAGTGGGAGCTCTCCGTGCAATTTCCCTCCGTTTTTCCGAGCAGGATCTGGCCCAAGGTCTCCGTTTGTTCCAGGAGCTCTTAAAAAGAGACAGACGTGCAACACAATTAGGTGCGCATGTAGCACACAGCGGCTGTAAGGTTGCATCAAGGTATGCTAAGTAAGGTTGCTGGGATGGTGTTTTTTTCTCGAACCAGGTTTTCTGGATTCAGACAAGATGATGAACCATGATTTAGCTACTCCAGTTACTTAGCATTAATGAGTGTCTTGTGCCAACAGCACTAAGCAGATTGTACATAGCTTTGTCGTATATAAAACACGCACACACTCAAACACACATCTGCACAGCTCTCTGCTGGGGTGGTGGATGAAAAGAGCCAGTTCACACACTCTTTGGGAGTAGATTCTTTGCACCAATCATCTATCAGCCCCTCTTTGGTCCAGGTTAGTTCAGCCCAGTTCCGTTCTTTTTGCAACCAAAAGGCGGTTGGTGCCCAGAGGCATCGCGGGTGGTTTTTCCCCCATTGCAGCTACCCCAGCCGGTTTTCTCAGCTAAACAACTGCACAACTGAGTTAACTTGGACTGAGTTTTGTTTCTGCAAACGGGACTTACAGAGTGTCGCCGAACTCGTTGGTGATCCCGGGTCCGAGGTGAGTTCAGCAAGGAAGGGAACCAACCAGAGTCACAGAAACCAGCCGAGTCTGACTGGCCTCCTTCACGCCTCGATGTCAGAATCCAATTATATTTCATCTCTAGTTATCAACTATAGAAAACCCCATTTCTGCCTTACCTGGATTCTGCCATACAAGGAAGGGAAGGGGGTGAACAAAGGGGCTTTCTGGCCCTCACTTCCTTCGGTACACTTCAAAGGGACTGGATGTGGATATCACCAAAAGGACTAACCATAACAATGGGGCTATTGCCTTTCATGTACTCCTCTCTGAAGTCTCCCTCCCGCCGGCAGTAAGGAAAAGGGGGTGGGAATGTAATGCCTGAAACTGTCGCTGGAAGAAGGGGGGGATTGGGTGGGGCTACTGGGGAACCCCTTAAAACCTCGAATGGGAGAGCTTGGACCCCAAGTCCTGTCTAGAACGCCTGCAACCATTTTCTCTTAATAAAGGATGCCTGTTGGAAGAACTATTCCAAGAGTTCTGTCTTCTTAAGGTGCAAAGTGGGGTGGGTCCTTACACTCCCGCTTTGGCGAAGCCTTTTTGACCACAGACCAAACTACAGTAACCTGATGGGCATCAGACGGTTGGCACCCTCCTTCGCCACTTGCAAGGGACGGCGCACCCGCGAGTCGTCTGAATGCATCCTTAGTTGCGCTCGTGGGCGCTGCGAGGGCAACGTGTGAGCGCCACTCCGCCCGCCCTCGGCCCTCGGGAGCCCCTCCAGCGGCCTCCCCCCCCCGCTCTCCCGCCCTCCCCTCCCGGCTGGCCCCCGGCCCGGAGGCGGAGCCGCCTCGCCTCGCTCGCCTCGTCCGGGCCAGACGCTGCTGGGCTCCCGGCGGCTGCACTGGCTCCGGCGGCCGCGGCCATGTGGCTCCCGGACTGCGACGGGGCGGCGGGCGGCGGGCTCTGGCGGCTCCCGCTGCTGCTGCTGCGCCTGGGCGCGCTCTGCCACTCGGGGGGCGCCCGGGGGGCGCGGCTGGCCGGCGGTGAGTCCGCCCTCGGGCGGCCGGGCGGAGGCTGGACCGGGCAGGGAGGGCGAGGGGCAGGCGGGACCGACTGCGCGGAGAAACTTTGCAGAAGTCCCGGGAAGCCGCGCGACTCTAGGATCGCGCCCCGACTTACGCGACCGCGCGTGGAAATGCCGGATTGCGGGCGGGGGGGGGGCGCTAAGCGGGAGGCTGAGCCCCGGGAAAGGGGGGCCAGAGGGGTGGCGGAGGGGTTCAGCTGCTCTCCCAGGGGCGGGAGGGGGGCAGGCTGCAGCCGTGGTCTCCCCCACATCCGAACCCCGATTCGTGGATCAGCGAGTGGGGTCTTCGGGCGCTCCCGCGTGGAAAGGCGGCCGGGCAAGGAGGGGAGAGTGGGCTGGGGAGGGGGAACAGCCAGAAGGGGGGGGAGGGGAAGGACTCCCCCACTTTACCTGCCAAAGCTGCGTCCGGGCCGGACGCCACCCCGCAGGTCCTTTAAAGGCGTGGGCAGAGTCGGCACGGTCGTTGGGCGACCGGCGCGTTTCCAAGTCCGGGGTCGGCGGGGGCGTGTCACTCGGCTGCCGGCGTCTGTCCCCGAGCCCGGGGGTAGCCTCCAGCCTCCCCTCGGGCCCATCGGGTTTGGGGGCGGCCAAAGTGGGGGCGCCGCTGCGCGCCAGGCAGAAGCCCCCCCCCGGGAACTCCCTAAGCGACTGGGGGGGGGGAAGCGGGGTGCAGCCCGGGCCTTGGAGCTGGAGCCGCAGTGGGCACTCCTTCCAGCCCTGGGCTCCGTCTGGGACCAAGGAGCCCTTTTGGGGCTGCTTCGATCTCATCCTCTGTGATCTCCTCCGGGCTGGGGGAGAGGGAGGGGGCCCAGTAGGCGCCAGTTGTCCACAGACCCTCCCTTAAGTTGGCCCCTCCCGGCTTTAAGGCTTGCAATGACCCAGGAATAAATTGGCACAATGGCAGGTTGCAAACCAGCCCTTCTGGACTGCAAGTAGAGCCCCCGAGTATTTGTGGAGAATAAAGAGGGCGGGCAGAGCTTGGGAAGGACTAAAAAAGGACCACAGCTGAGCTGTGTGGCTGAGGGCATCCAAGAAGGAGGCTGACCCACAGAAGAAGCTTAGTGGGGCTCTTTCTATCATTTGCATCTGGGGCATCCTCCAAGGCAGCTGTTTGAATGCAGTAAATAAATAAACAAATCAACAAACTTGGTCTGGGAAAACCTTCACACGGTTGTTTTAAGGACAGAATTTTCTTTACAAACTGGCTGTGCATCTGTTGTGAAACCACCAAAAAAAATAAGGGGTGGTGGGAGGTCAGGGTAAGGTTAACTGGTCAATGTTCTGCTACGATTACTTATTATATTTAGCATGGTTTTGCTATTCTGTTCCTCAAAGCTCAGCCTTCTCCAGTATGGTGGACTCTGGATGGCTTGTATCTCACTTCCCACAATCCCCAGCCCTGGCCATGCTGATTGAAATTTAGGGGAAAGGTAGTCCAGCATATCTGAAGGGCCTGGGAGCATTTAGAGGTGTGTGACATCATAAAGAATTTGCTCGGGAAATAAATCTACTTTCCCAGAATGATCTCCAGAACATGGCCTACTGAGACCACAGAACGGACAGTGGATGTATTGCAGTGGCCATCCTGTAATCATTGCCTCACTTTCTGTCTTGCCTAAAAATAACTTTACATTTTGCTGATAAAACTCAAATGATTTGGCAAGGGACTGCAAACTTCAAAGGAGCTCTCTCTTTTGGATGTATTTTTATAATGACTATGATCATGATTTATCACTTATTGCTTGTATGTACGCTGAGAGCTTATGCACCAGAGACAAATTCCTTATGTGTCCAATCATACTTGGCCAATAAAGAATTCTATTCTATTCTATTCTGTTCTACATCTACTTCTGTTTTAATCTACTTCTATTCTACTCTACTTCAATTCTACTCTATTTATTTTATTCTGTTCTGTTCTACATCTACTTCTATGTTAATCTACTTCTGTTCTACTATTCTATTCTATGTCTACTCTAATCTACTTCTATTCTATTCTACTCTTACTTCTATTCCATTCTATATTCTACTCCTATCTTATCCTAATCTATTCTATTCTAGTCTCTTTTTTTTGGTATAGATTTTATTAGTTTTTATAGGGTTAGGAATAAGATGGGATCGGGGTTGGGGTTGAGATTTGGGTTAGGGTTAGGATTAGGGTTACGGTTGGCATTGGCGTTTTTCCAAATAACATTCTTAATATTTAGCAAACAGCATAATGTCTGGTTCATGTGCTTAACAAACAATAATAGATAATAGTTAATTATAAACATGTTAATCACTCAATAGCCTTCTTCTTGCTAATATATATTCAAAATTACATATCACATTCCTTTCTCTCTGACTCGTTTTTCTACCCATTGATAGAAATTATCCCATGTTCTAAAGCAGGGCTTTTCAACCAGTGGTACAGGTACCACCTGTGGTACATTGGCACCTGGCAGGTGGTACGCGACCATCCTAGAAAAGTGGTAGCGGGGGAGGGGAATGAGCTGAACCGGTGGCAGCACCGCACAAGCCTGAGCGGGAGATGGTTGGAGCTGCAGGGCTGTCAGGGCTCAGCGGAAGTGCCAGGATCAGCGCCAGTCTCCAGCTGGAGCTTGGCACTGATCCTGGTGCTTCTGCTGAGCCCAGAAGAAGCGTCGATCAGCTGGAATGTTGCAGCATCTCCAGGGTCTTTTGTGATTTACATTCAGATGCTTGGCAACTGATTCATATTTATGACAATCACAGTGTCCCAGGGTCATGTAAAGTGACCAAAACCTGCTGCAACCACCCAGCAGACGGGAATAAAAACCAAACACCCCCCCACTCCACTCCCACTGCCAATCCTCAACAGAAATGCTCACAACAATGAAAACCTCGGACAGGAGGAAGAGCGCCGCCGGGTGGGCAGGCAGGTGTCTTGCTCAGCGGTGGCTTGGGGGGCACTTTTTTCAGTGCCATTGTAACTTCGAACTAAGCAAACTGTTGTAAGTCGAGGACTACCTGTACTTTATCAGTTTTTTCCTTTTTTGGGGGGGGGGGCATCAAGTTTTTGACACCTTGCTAGGTGACTAGTGGTACTCGGATGTTGCCATATCCTAAAAGTGGTACAATGGGTGAAAAGGTTGAAAAGCCCTGTTCTAAAGTACACTGAGTCTTCTTTCTCTTTTATCTTTAAAGTTCTATTCTATTCTATAGCCGATGTTGCTGAGGATGATTTAGGGGTTAACTTAACTCTTGTTTACATTCTTCTGCCTAAAATGCTCAAAGTACATCCACCCACACTCAATGGGTGAATAGAGTCCCAAATAGTCACTTTATTTCTGTTTTAGCTATGTCTGTCCAAAGGAGATTGAGCAATGGAGCAGGCAGGGTCTTGGCAACTGTGCAAAGGAGACTGGGAAGATCCAGCCACTTAAGGACATCTCATGAAAAGCAAACTCTGATGGTTTATGTTCTCATTTTAAGTTTCCAACCGGATCTTCCCGACATCAGGCATTTATTTATTATTAGGATTGTTCTAATTTGTTGGGCTTCACTTTGCATGCTGCCCAGTCTCTGCTGTAAAATGGGTTGCCATATAAATCACGGGAATAAATCAAGCCGATTGAGGATTTCTGCAAGTAAATCTGAGGATCTTGGCTTGGGTCTCAGTTCAGATTTGAAATAAACATTTTTTATCCCACTGCAAAAGTAATAAAGAATAACACAGGCCACCGGTTTCTTTCCATCATATTCAGCAACAAGAAAAAAAGATGCAGTCACAAAAGGATGCTGATAAAAATTCTACATCGTGCAGTTGTAGAAATCAAGACCTCTTTCTCTGTCTGCTCCAGACAACGCTAAAAGGTATGGACTTCAATTCCCAGAATTCCCCAGCCAGCTCTGCTGGGAGTTGGTCCACAAGTCCCAAAGTTGCCAAGGCTATAGACCCCTGCTGGCTGGGATCTCCAGTTGCCAAGTTTGGAGACCCATGCTGGCTGGGAAATTCTGGGAGTTGAAGTCCACAAGTCCCAAAGTTGTCAAGGCTGTAGACCCCAGGTCTCCTCCCTGTTACTGAGATTACTTCTGCCCCACAGGTCAGACCATCTGCCGGAGAGGAACGCAACGCCCTTGCTACAAAATTGTTTATTTTCATGAAGCCACACGCAGGGTTGGCTTCCAGGAAGCTCTTCAGACCTGCCGAAACGACGGCGGAGACTTGGTGAGCATCGAATCCCAGTCAGAGCAGGAGTTGATTGAGAAAATGATCCAGCGTTACTCAGCATCTGATGGCGATTTTTGGATCGGGCTCAGGAGAGAAGAAGACGATCCGGAGAACGGCACCCAATGTCCCCATTTATACACCTGGACTGATGGGAGCTGGTCCACCTTTCGGTAAGCCAGGAGGAAGCTCCCCTCAAGAATTTAGCAGGCAGGTGCAGCTCCGTCTCATGATTTGCCTGTCCTTCCTACAGAAACTGGTACGTGGATGAACCGTCCTGCGGAAGCGAGGGGTGCGTAGTGATGTATCACCAGCCCTCGGCACCTGCCGGCGACGGGGGACGTTACCTGTTCCAGTGGAACGATGACAGATGCAACATGAGAAACAACTTTATTTGTAAATATTCACAAGGTCAGGGGATGTCATTTATATTCAGGGACGCTCACGACGGTCTTCCTTGCTTTCGTGACAACACAAACAATCTTTGATTTATAATCCTTTGTTTACTGACCGTTCAAAGTGACAACGGCACTTTAAAAAGTGACTTACGACCGTTTTTCACACATACGGCCGTTGCAGCCTCCCCATGGTCACATGATCCAAATTCGGACGCTTGGCCACTGGCTCATATTTATGACGGTTGCAATGTCCCAGGATCACGTGATCCCCTTTTGCAACCTTCTAACAAGCAAAGTCAATGGGGAAGCGCGATTCACTTCACAACCGGGTTCTTGACTTAAAACTGCAGTGATATCCCAAAGATGCTTTTTCAGGAGACAACTGGACTTTCTTGTTTTTCTTTGAAGACGTTTCGCTTCTCATCCAAGAAGCTTCTTCAGCTCTGACTGGATGGTGGGGAATGGAAGGATTTATACTCCTTGCAGACAACTGGTCCTTTGCATTGAATATAAATCCTTCCATTCCCCACCATCCAGTCAGAGCTGAAGAAGCTTCTTGGATGAGAAGTGAAATGTCTTCAAAAAAAAACTCAAGAAAGTCCAGTTGCCTCCTGAAAAAGCATCTTTGGGATAACTGTGACTTAGATGATTGAGAATCTCCGTAGACAACTGCAATGATGGACTTAACCATGCCAAAAAAAGGTCATAAAATCAGGTGCAGCTCATTTAACAATCGTCTTGGTTTGCCACTGAAATTCTGGTTGCAAAAATTATGTTTGAGATCAGAGCTTTACGAATTCTGAAAACCTAGTTGTTTTTCTGTTTTTCCGGTCAGTACACAGACTAAGTGCTTCTCGCCTACTGGCGTTAAATTCCTGTAATCAGATGTAGGATTTGGGGTTTGGCTTTCAGCATGCACACGCTTTTTATTGTTGTTTTTTCTTCCCCTTGCAGAAAAGCCAACAGTTGTCTCTGAATTGGCTCCTTCTCAGACAGGTAACATTTGGTGTTCGGGAAAGGAGGGGGAGGTTGAGACTTTTGCTGGGAAAAAAGCCAAACCTAGCACAAATAACAGTTGTCCCAAACAAGGCAAAAAAAAAATAGCCAAAGAAATCATTATAGTAGAGAGAGAGAGAGAGACAATGTGGTATATTAAGGAGAGCTAGATTTGAGTCCACATTTAACCATAGAGCCTAGGAGCCTTCTGGTAGCTTCCGAAGATCTCTGCATTTCAGCCAACCTTCCTCACAGGGTTGTAGTTGTGGTTTATGGGAAAAGAAGGAGAGATTTTTCCCATCTCTGGAGTTTCCTCCGCTCCCAAAGGAAAGACACGGGTATCCATTAAATCAGTGTTTCCCCCACTTCGTAAACTTTAAGAAGTGTGGACTTCAACTCCCAGAATTCCCCTAGCTAGTATGCATGCCGGCTGGGGGAATTCTGGGAGCTGAAGTCCACACATTGTAAAGTCTGCAAGGTTGAGAAACACTGTGTTAATAATAAATAAGTAAAGCTTGCTCTTTTGAACCCATGACTCTCAACTGCTTTTTGAAATGCTTGATGCTAACTGATCCTTTTTGAACTGGCTGACTCCAGAATGTGGATCCTTCAGCCAAAGGTGGATACTATTCTAGTCCCAAATCCTCTTCCATCAATCTTAGGGCCTGTTTATAGTATTAAGGCAATATCCTTAAGTCATATAACACTCAGATTTCTTTCCTAGGGTATATAACAGGGTCTTTGGCACTCACCTCCCCGGAAACCCCCATGCAAGAGAATGTTGCTAACAAAAGCCTCACAGAGGCCAAAGGTAAAGAATGGCAATTTCTCCTAAGTTTAATGAGGAAGGAGAAAGGATAGGTTTGTTATAATCGCTGCAAAACAAGGTTGGAAGTCCTTTTTTTTGTGTGTCTTTTCTTATTCCTATTTCTTAATCGTGTTTCTTAATTTTTGAATTCACACTTTTCTTTTTATTTAATCTTATTTTACATTATTTCATGTTTACCTTTGTGAAACTTTCTATAAAAAAAAACTTTAAAAATGCAATTGCAATTTCCTTTCTCCAAAGCTGTTTTAACAATACCCTAAATTTCTCGGAGAAGGAATGTCTTTGCCACATCCAAAGAGAATTAATATACATTGTTCCTTTTGCTTTATACCCTAATCAAATTATCTCCCCACACCTTGTAAATGAAAGGGGGGGAAAGCCACAATTCTACTGTGATAAAACTTTGTTCTCAATAACACATTAAAACTCTTGATTCCTTTTTTCTCTAGAGCCCGCTTGGAGTCTTCTGTACATCTTAATTTCAAGCATTCCTGCCTTGCTTCTGTTGATCACCATTGCTGTTTTTATCTTTTGGATTTACACAAAGAGGCAAGTGGCATTATTATTTAAGTTGAGAACATTTTTGAGGGCATCCGGGGTGGATTGAGCAGGTTTCAAGCAAGGAGGGATAAGAAAAAGAGAGGAGAAGAAATGCTATAGAGATGATACTGTTGTCTGTGCATAGCTGAGTTGTTTTCCTTGTTGGAATGGGCGTTGGTTAAGAAAAGCATCCTGTCCTGAGAGAAAAACAGTTTTTTGAATCTTTCAGGAAATAATAGGAGTCTACAAACTAGGCATAGAGAAGGCCTCTCCATGGGCCAGCACATTTTGCTCAAGGAATTTTGTTCCTTGAATTTAGGTCTCTATGCTTTAGAGCAGGTGTCTCCAACCAGGGCAACTTTATGACTTGTGGACTTCAACTCCCAGAATTCCTCACTGAGAGTTGAAATCTACAAGTCATTAAGTAGTTGGCTGAGGAATTCTGGGAATTGAAATCCACAAGTCACAAAGTTGCCCCTGCTTTTGTGGACATAGGGAAAGGCCTTGAAAGACAGGAAGAAGAGTTGCTTCCATGGCAATAATTACATAAGCGGGGCTTGAGCCCAGGCCAAGAAAAGAACATCAGAAAACAAACCCTGCCCCTAATTCACACAAACTTAAAGCGAAGAAGAGGGATGCACATTCAGGGTTGCAGGGTCCTGCTACTACAGCTATTATAATCAAAGTAGTCCTAATCTACACGCCTACACCCCGTTGGTTTCTTGATCTGGTCTATCTTGTAGAAGGGCTAACACACACATTCTTTGGACCCAGGAAAGCTTGTCCTTAATTTACACCCAGTTGAAAGTAAAGTCTTTCCCTACCCTAGAATCACTCTTTTCTCCATGAGTTGAGAAGGGAAGGGATTGCATCAGGCTGATTTGCAAATTTAGCCTCCCCACCCATTCACAGCATGGAGACATTTGTGAGCAGGATGATCTTAAGACAAAAAAGAGGACCTTAAGCTTTCCTCGTGACAGGCTGTCTTCCGGTGTGATATCTGAGTTGTTCTTAAACTAAAACCCTTGTCTCCTGGCATCTCCACTGTTAAACTTTGGATGCATTTTGATCTCACAGTAATACATTGGATTGACCATATTGCTGAAGCACATTCTACTTCTGTGGATCTCCAACCTTTTCACCTCTTCCGATCCTTCCTTTACCCCTGCCAATTTATCCTGGTGGTCTCCTAGCCCAGTTCTTCCTTCTTAAAAAAAAATATTTTAATAAAAAAATCTAATGAAAAGTAAGGCTGCTCCTTCTTCTCTGTCTGGATCCAGCAAAACCATTACGTTCCTTCATGACTAACCCAGGCTAGAAAGAAGGAAAAAAAACTAGTGGGAAAATTAGAAGGAAGTTAATGTGTTTTTCTTTCTTTCTTTCTTTCCCTGCCAAGGAGACGGGAACAGAGAGAGGTGAACACGAAGGAGAAAGATGCTTGGTTGTCTACCAAAATGCAAAATAGTCCCAGTTTAGAGGTATATAATGTCATTCAAAAACAAGGGGAGGCCGATCTGGCTGCAACGAGACCACAAGCCCAGAACTCCTCTTTCCGTGCTCGTCTTGGAGGAGATGACCTCTGTGGAGACTATGACAATATGGCGGTCAACAGCTCAGAGAGTGGCTTTGTGACCTTGGCAAGCACTGAGAGCGGATTTGTCACCAATGACATATATGAACTGTGCAATGACCGAGTGGGGCAAAGCAAAGAGTCAGCTTGGGTAGAAAATGAAATCTACGGATATTGAAGAGCTGGTGGTGAGAGATGGATTAAGATGGGGAACGTTCCCATCGATACAAACTTGAGCACCCAAAGACATGGCTGCTGTATTGCAGAGGGGTTTCCTTTCCCTCCCTGAAAGGGTTACATGGATTTAAACAAGTTGATTAATTGATTATTGATGGATTAGATGTCATTAAGTTGTTTTTAACTCCTAGCAACCATGTTTTCTCCATGAAGATCGGTCCCTAGCCTGGTCATTCAGGTCTTCCAATGGTGAACCCATCATCTCTGTCATTGAGTCCATCCGGTTTGGGATGGTCGTCCTCTTCTTCTTTTCCCGTCCATCTTTAAACATGAAGGCAGAGATCTTATTGACCAGGAAATAGAGAACTTGATTCCTTTCCTTGCTACAGCACATCACCGCCTAGTCATCTAGAACCTGACAACATTTTGCCATTATAATAAGCACATCAATTAATTGCTGACATCCAGATGGAATTTGTGAGGTATGGCTAAAAATAACACAGGTTTTTGTTCATCACCACCTGGCTTTGATCAGCTGCCTAGTTTCCATCTTTACCTGTTTGGCAATCCAAAAATTTTCTAGAAAGGAGGGAGTCTCTTTCTGCTCTTCTATCCTCCATGTGGTATTTTTTGCAGAAAATTTTTTGAGGAAAAAGGACATTGTCTAACTAAGAATATCTTCTGGTGGTGGCGAACCTATGGCATGCATGCCAGAGGCGGCACTCAGAGCCCTCTCTGTGGGCACGCGCGCCGTCGCCCCAGTCCTAGGCCTTCAGCTGGGTTTTATAAAACCTTTTCCTTTAGGCCTCCGCCACCGTGTACAAAAAAAAGGTTCAGTCAGTCAATTTCAGCTTCTCGCGGGGAAAAAAAAGATCTTGCAAAGTTGGAATTGATTGATTGAACTTTTTAGTCCCACCCAGTCTGCTGTTACCACCGCAGCCACGCCCACCCAATGGGCCGCACCCGACGATGCATAAGTGGGTTTTGGGGTGCAGTTTGGGCACTCGGTCTCTAAAAGGTTCGCCATCACTGATATATACACTTCTGTTTTGATTTAGAAATGGTGCAAGTGATAAGAACTCCTTTGCAGTTGTGGACAGGCCTGTTTCTTGGAAGCAGAATACAAATGGGGTAAACGTGGTGCTAGTTTCAAAAATAAAGATTGTTTCCTTCATATATCAGATGCTTTCTGTCCCAGAGGAGATTGGCAAGCTTGAGAAACAAGTGATGTGGTTCTACGCAACATACAGTTTCTAATTTTGCAATTACATCCAAATTTGCCGAATTTGAAAGACCTCCTACTGTTCTCAAAAAAAAAATAAGAGCAAACAACCAATGCATTATTTGAGAACATGCGCAAATTTTGATATCCTTATAATTGTGCTTTTCAACTCAAAATATCAACTCCTTCTTTGGCTGTCCCCGCAGAGAAGCTGTAAGATAAGACATAGAAATATATCTGGTCCTTCCTTTGTTATTTGATGTGTGACAGATGAAAGAGGGGGGAAAGCTTTTTTAAAAAATTCAACAAGCCAGTGTGATGTTCTATGCATGTGCAATGCTACAATGCTTCAAAAACTTTTAATATGTGCATGTGATGTCATCTTACATTGTCATGGACTGAGAGATTTTATTCTGGTGCTGGAATGCATGAAGCCTATGGCCACGGCAGTTGAGTTGCTGGGATATTGTGTAATGTTTGCAAGCACCTCTGAAAAACCCAAAGTCTAGTTTGATTAGAACTTTTCTTTTTCCTTTCCCTTCTAAGTGGAAACAAGAAATGAACAAAGCTAAACTTTTTGGGGGGAAAAAAATCCCAAAAAATTGGAGAGGAGAAAATTCCAAGAAGCAGCAATGCCCGGGGGGGAGGAACTCCTGATGGGATGGTGATGCTCAGTGAGATTCTGATCATTCAAGGATTAGGCAATGTTGTGGGATGAAAAGGACACACCAAGAAAAAAAATGGGAAAGGTGGTTTTGAAGACCCGTGGTTGGACATGATCCCATATGACTAGCACGTGTAATTGCTCCTCTTGGCTTTCTCTGCTAAACAAGCAAAGAGGTGTCCCATATTTTGACAGACAGTCACGAGAACTGCCAAAGAATGACAACATCAGGCCAAATGAGGTGAGGCACAGCTTGTGGTTGGTTAATGCCCGGGGCATGATGGGGTTTATCTGAAGAGCCTTACTCATATTCTCATGTCACGACTGAGAGCCACCCTAACTTCTGTGGCTAGAAAAAGCCACAGACTTTTGCACTGTTTTCAGTCAGGGTGTTTTTGCTGCACTTTGGTGTTGCCTTATTGCCATGTTTCTCTTATGCATGTCTGAATGAAATGTTGGGTCTCTTGAGCAAAGAAATAAACACGTTTGGTTGCAGAGCAACAACAGATGAAGATTGTATAGGGTTCTTTTTTGCACTGTGTCTTTCTCAGTGGAATCTCTTGATCTTACCTTAAGGAGTATCTTCAGCAGAATTTATCAGCGTCCTACAATGAGGAACATAAATGGTAGTAACTCATAACCTAATGTTGGAGTCTGCAGATGTGCATGTTAATCCTAGGTTAGCCAAAAGCAAAGGTATTTGGGATTCCCGTTAGCAGTAATTGGAGTGATATGAACAACAGAAATTTAATTGTAGAAGAGAAATAGTAACTCATCAAGAGTTGCTTCTTGGCAGTTATCAATCTCCCTGACACATATGTCATTCAACAGTTAAATGCACTTCAGTTCTTTTCTTATTTGGTGTTTTTTTTATAAAGGATTCATTTTCATTGATATTGGCTCAAGGAAAATAATTCGCTTATTTGTGGAATTCAGTTCTTGAATTATAAGAAGTTCCTTCGTCAGTCAGTGAGGCCAAGCAGCTAGAGAGACTATGGAAAGCGTACAGTAGAGAATTATGGCAATATACAGATTTATCTTTTCATTTTGGCAGGGTTCATAACACCAGATCTTACTTTCATTTTGTAAGAGGGAGGGCAAAAATCACAGGATCAAACAAACATTAATTATATCCTAAGCACCCAGAAGCCAAGATGTACACCAAAATCTCTGCAAGAAGGTGCAATATATGGATGGATTTCCAAAACTGACTTTAAATTTCAAAGCATCTGATTCAACGGTTCAATATTTGGCATCATTTGATACCATTCAGTGCAGAGATTCAAATAAATTGTGTCTCTTTCTGGAATCTTTGCACGACCCAAAAAGCAAATCATATGTTATGGGTGTGAACCGTAAAAATGCATGATGTTGCTTTGCCAACAGAAATACTTAACCCGGTCAGTTTTCTACCACTCAGCACTATCCTTTTACAGCTGTTGTGATCATTATCAAATGCCACCTTTTTATGCATCTGTTGGACAGCATCATCTGTGACAGGTTCTCCTAGGAAGTAGCTACCTTGGGAAATGTGCATTGATCTCCTAAGTGCCAAGTTTTCTGGAAAGTAGTAACAATACGTGAGGGAGATGGGATTAAGAGCCAGAGAAATGATTGCAAGCAGGCTTGGCTCTGGATGCCAAATTGCAGTGGATTATGCCATGGGAGCCAGCCTGAATGATTCTCCAGTTTCCCCATCTTGTTATGTTTTCTGTGAAGTTCTTGGATGAGTTGCTGGTGTTGACACGGCTGCTTGGTTGCTTTCCTTTCCTAGCTAGTCCAGAATCATCTGTTGTTGATTTTGGAGAAAGAGGATACAAGCTGTGCTTGAAAAAAAACACCCCAGCCGCAACCTTTTCACGTCTAATCAATCATTGTCACAACAGGGTGACCACATTTTGGGATGCTGCTGGTCACGGGGTGGCCCCATGCAAAAATCAAGTCAGCTGTTTCACACAAAGGTTTTTTAGGTTGGGATCAGATGCAAAAAGCAGCAAAGCGAGGGGATAAAACTGATTTTAAAAAAAGCTGAAGTGGGGTGACTGCATCAACTGGAAATGAAGAGGGCTTCCAAGTTTGAAAAAAGACAAAAGAATGGATGTGGAGAAAGCTAGGATCAGTGCCTACTTTGCAAATTCAGTGTAATTTTATCGGGAGGATTTATTTGTTCTTTGCAAAGCAGTTGGGTGTGTATGTGTGGGAGACACACCAAAGCACTTGGTTCTTCTGAAAAAAAAAACACAGGGTGTTGGTGTTCGTTTTCTTGGAGTTGGATGTGATTACAATTAGGCTGAAATTTCTCAGAAAATAAAGAATTTTCAGGTAGTCTCCAAGACTTTCCTTTCGTTGGGATCTCTCTAAACTGTTGAAGAATGTTCATATTCATGAAGGTTAAAAATAGGACATTTTTGAGAGGTCATATTTTTGCAAAACCCTAAAAAATCCTGGAAAAGAAACATGTATCACTAGAGGGCGCCTTTTATTTCATAAGGAATATAGCTGCATTTTCTAAATAGATGGCAGATTTTTGGAAAAGCAGCTGTGGCCTTTTATATTTTTTTCCTTTCAAAGGTACTGTAGACATAATGAAAGCCTGTTTATTTGGTGGACTGCCCTGTATTCCCAAAGAGTACAGCAAATATTTTGTCTAAGCCACTTGATGATACGTGCAACGTTTTGATCCCTGATTTTGAGCAACAGTTAAAATTAACAAAGGCATTGACTTAAATGAGATGTTTCTTTAAAAAGGTACGTGTGCATTGTAGCTCCAGAACAAACTTAAGTTTGGGATTTTTCAGGATAATTTGGTAGCATGAAAGAATAATTACAGATCAGGGCCTTGAATGAATGAAATGCTCAGGCCTTTTTTCTAGGAGAAGAAAGAATAATGAATAGGTTTATGAATAGAGCAGTAGGATATCATTGTCTGCAAGAACTATTCTTAGCTGCTTCTTGGTTGCATCAAGCATCTCTGGGGGAGCATGCTGACTAATCCCTCTGCAGTTGCTCATTCACCGGAACTTTCTAAAATAGCTAAATCGGGAAGACAATAAAACAACCAGTACGAGCATCACCGAATAAATCATTGTTGAGAGAAATGCAAGCGTGGTCTGGAGAACTGTGGGTGGAGCAGGATCAAAAACTTTATTTCCATTGCAATGTGGGAACCCTCAACATGGAAACCCAGGTCTGCGGAACCGGATATAAAATTAAAGGGAACGTCGGAACCGCGCTGTCCTGCTTTTGTTCCACAGTAGGTACAAGGACAACGGCCACAATTCAACCCAAAATTTCTGTTCTTCAGTGAGGCATTTGTTAAGTGTGTTTTGCCCCATTTCACAACCTATCTTGCCTTAGTTGTTAAGTGAAACACTGCAGTTGAGAAGTTAGTAACCCGGCTGTTAAGTGAATCAGGGTTCCCCATTGACTTTGCTTGTCAGAAGGTCACAAAAGGGGATCACATGATCCCTGGGACACAGCGACGATCATAAATAAGAATCAGTTGCCAAGCGTCTGAATTTTGGTCACATGACCCTGGGGAAGCTGCAATGGTCGTAACTGTGAAAAATGGTCCTAAGTCATTTTTTTCAGTGCTGTTGTAACTTTGAATTGTCACTAAATGAACTGTTGTAATTTGAGGACTACCTATATTTTGTCTTCCACTTATTCGGGAAAACGGACGGCGGTTTTAAAATTTGCGGCCCAGGGAGTGATCATCTTTTTGTTAAAGCAGTGGTTCTCAACCTGTGGGTCGGGACCCCATTTGGGGTCGAACGACCATTTCACGGGGGTTGCCAAACAAGGCTGTCCGCCATTTTTTTCCCCTTTTCTTTGGCCACGCCCCTGGCACCCGGTGATGTATAAGTGGTTGGGGGTCACCACAACATGGGGAACTGTATTATGGGGTCGCGGCATTAGAAAGGTTGAGAACCACTGTGTTAAAGCAACAGTCCAAGGAATATGCCACAACCACTTTTCCTGCAGGATTCTCTCCACAGCCAAGCTGAAAGCCATGGCGGGCCTGGTCACAGAGTACCAGAACCAGAAGGCAAATTCAGTTTGGCTGTTTCTCACAACAGACTGGCTTGGACCACACCTCTGTTCTTGTGTCTGGAGACAAGCTGCAGATCCAATCTTGAAAGAAGCCAAGACGTTCTGGCAAAGTGGTTAACGGGGATGGGAGGAAGGTATGTTGAACTTGCATGTCGCAGATGAGTTTGCAAAAGCTTCTAAACTAGAGGTTAATCAAAGAGAGAAGCAACCTAGAACTAAGGAGGAATTTCCTGACAGTGAGAACAATTAATCAGTGGAACAACCTGCCTCCAGAAGCTGTGAGTGCTCCAGCACTGGAAGTTTTTAAGAGACTGGACAATCACTTGTCTGGAACGGTAGAGGGTTTCCTGCCTGAGCAGGGGGTTGGACTAGATGACCTCCAAGGTCCCTTCCAAATAATAATAATAATAATAATTATTATTATTATTATTATTATTATTATTATTATTATTATCAATCATTGCACAGTCAGCCAGATGTTCAGACTGGATTTGGCATTTTGTCTACCTATCGAGTCCTTACCCAGGACCTGGGATAGGCAGATGTGGATGTTTGATGGTATTACAGATATCGTCGCAGGATGGAAGCAGTTCCTAATAAGGCCGCCTTTTGCAATTGACTAATAGCGAATTTGTCAATGCCAATGGTGTTCAAGTGGTGCTCCAGTTGTTTTGGGATTGCACCCAAGGAGCCTATGACTATTGGTACTACCCTTGCTTGCTTTTGCCACAGTCTTTCTATTTCTATTTGTAGGTCTTTGTATTTTGTTATCTTCTCCAGTTCTTTCTCTTCTATTCTGCTGTCTCCAGGCACTGCCACGTCCACTATCCAGACTTTTTTGTCTTTCTTATCGACAATTGTTAAGTCTGGGGTGTTGTTGTTGTTATTATTATTATTATTATTATTATTATTATTATTATTATTATTATTATTATGGTGTCTAACTTTTAAGATCTGTGGACTTCAACTCCCAGAATTCCCTAGCCAGCTATGAATTCTGGGAGTTGAAGTCCACAAGTCTTAAAAGCTGCCAAGGTTGGACATCCCGGCTATAAGCACCCTGCTGCGTGACGGTTTTGAAAATCGCGTCAAAAGTCCTAGGAATCTCGCCGTTCCAGAATCGACTTCCCTGGAGAAAATGAACATGTGGGAGAGCAACCAACGAATGAAGTTTCTTCCATGCAAAAATCCAGTATAAATATTACTGCCTGCCACCCCTTCACCCTAAATTATCCCTTTTAAGATACATACAAGGCAAAAACAGCTGTTGCCAAGAATTGATTTGGCTTTCTGTCAGTTTTAATTATAGAAAACTTAAGCATGGCATGAAAGAATACAAGAAATTGACCCAGTTGGTGGGGGGGAGGGAGAGGGGGGAAAGAGGTCAATGGCTGGATCACAAATATGTAAATAACTTGGTATTTTAGAATTGTTTAGCTTATAAATATCAGCTATATAAAGCTAAAAAAATGATTTTGCAGATAAATCAGGAAAGTGGCTAGCATATGAATTATGAAAAAAATGATACTGAAATTACAAAACGGAAATATTGTATTAATGGACAGTCTTCTTTTGGGACAGATGGACAAATAGTTGAGAAAAAAGTCATGGAACTTTTGTTTTTGTACACGATAACGGGAACAAGACGATTGTCTGCACAAAGATGGAAAGATTTGGGGCTCCATGCAATAGAAGAATGGACAGTGAAGAGGGTAAAACTTACTGAGATGGCTAAATTGACTTGTTTGATCCAGAAAGATACAATATTTATTAATCACATTTATTTGGCCATTAGTGGACAGTTCTATGGCTTATATACAACAGTTCTATCTCCATTTATTGCGGACTGGAAATTTTTTTCTTAAAATGGAAAACTGGATTTATGACTGTTTTTGTTTGGATTAGATAGATTATAGAAAGAAAGGAGTTATGTTGTAACCATAGAGTAAGAGGTAAATTAATAACCATATTTATTATTGTAAAGATCAGAAGGTACCTCTTTGTATCTTTTTTCTAATGTTTTTTTCCTTTCTTGCATTTTTAGCTTTCTCTTTGATTTTTCTCTTCCTGTTTCTTACTTTATATTTGTATTAGTTATCTTTCTTTTTAAAAAAACTTTAATAAAAACTGCATTTAAAAACAGAATTGTTCAGTTCACAATTACAGTAAGAGCTGCTTATTTATTAAAATGCTAAACCCAAGGCAATACTTATACTACTTGGCATTAGTGTTTAGTGTCCAGTATATAAACATGGAGCGCAATCTATGCCTAATACGCCTGACATTCTATTAGATTTTACTTTTCTTAAACGGAAGAATCCTCTAGTAGTCTTTTGTTCACCCAAGCCAAGTCCCAAATCACCACTCTCTTGGTGTTACTATGTAATTGGGAAGAGTTTTGCAATCTCCCAAGTAAGAGTCAGAAAGGCTGAGAGCCATTAATTGTTTTTGTGAATTATAGGATCAAGTTGAAGATCAAAAAGAACAGCGACAGCTTAGGGATGGGCTGGCTTTGTTAGGCAACCATTCCCTTTGGCCAATGTCTGCGTCTCTCCCATTAAATCAAGACAGGATGGAGGGGCATGTAAATTATACCGTATGATGTAAACCTAGGATACATTCCTTCGGAAGTCCAGCTGCTCTTTTGCTTTAGAATAGGGGGTTGAATTGTCTGTAACGAAACAGGCTGAAGAACTGATGTCCCAAAGGTGCTTTTTCACAAGGCAACCGGACTTCCTTTTTTCTCTTTGAAGACGTTTTGCTTCTCATCCAAGAACTTCTCATCCATCAGAGCTGAAGAAGCTTCTCGGATGAGAAGTGAAACGTCTTCAAAGAGAAAAAAGGAAGTCCGGTTGCCTTGTGGAAAAAACACCTTTGGGACAACCATGACCTGGATAACGGAGAATCTCCATAGACATGAAGAACTGAGGCTGCCGAATTGCGGTGTTGGGAGGAGACTTGAAAGTCTCCTGGACTGCAAGGTCAAGTCAATCAATCCTAAAGGAAATCAACCCTGAGGGTTTTTTGGAAGGACAGAGACTGAAGCTGAAGCTCAGATACTTTGGCCACCAGATGAGAAGAGTCCTTGGAGAAGACCCTGATGTGAGAAGATGGAAGGCAAAAGGAGAAGAGGATTCTAGAGGAGGAGATGGTTAAACAGAGTCATCAACACAATGAACATGAATTTGAGCAAATTCTGGAAGACAGGATAGGGGGAGAGCTGGGGTGTTGTGGTCCGTGCGGTTGCAAAGAGTCGGACACGACTCAGCGATTGAACAACCATAACTAGACAACCGTGACCCTTCTCCGGAACTTCACAACTCACTCGTATCCTAAAATTTCATACTACAAATTTGTCATCCCACTGAAGTTATAGTTGCATCTATTCAAGATGGAAATTTAATTCAACAGTAGCTTTGTCAGCACTGTGACTTACAAAATGCACCTTGAAAAACACTCTCAGGAGGCAATAAAACAGGCAGGTCAGCACTTGATTTCAAGAATTGTGTGTGTTTTGCTTGCACTGGTTTATGTTGACAGGCTCTTTAGATCCCAAGGGATCCCGAATTTGTATTCCAGGACGGAGATCCAGGGTTATCCAATTCAGATTACAGGTAGACCTCGACTTATCACCACCGTTGGGACCAGAATTTCATTAAAACTGGTCATTAAGCAAATGGTTGAGAGTCAAGGACTTCCTGTAGTTACAATCCAATTAGCAGATCATTAAGGATGGGGGGGGGAACTGTCATATGTGGTCTTAGCACAGCCCCTTGCAGATGATTCGAACGATCATAGCTAAACAAACCCTGGTTTGATACCAAGCCAACATCGCCTTCTCCCAGGCTTTGGTCGCTAGACTAGAGAATCGCACAAACCAAAAGAGCGGCATCCAGTAGAGGGCGCACAGCATCGCGTCCGCGGTTTGAGACCGGGCTGTCCATGCACGTGGGAACGCGTGACCAGAGGACGCGTGTCAACCCAAACAAACCGAAACGTGAGACCAGAGGGAAGCGGGGGGGGGAACCAAACACGGAGGGAAAAGATGGACTGTCCGTGACGCTGAGGGTTTGGATAATATTCTTGGGATCGAAGGTTTTCTCCATTGGGACCCCTCGCTGAGAGGGGAGGGGGGGAAACAAAGCCCCCCCCCAAAAAAGAAAGAAAAAGCCCGATTCCGACGACCAGGCACGGCAGCACTCCCTCCTCACAAAGCTAGCCCCGAGCGAGAGCTGCCTCGCGCAGGGCACGATGGGAATCTCTCCCGCTGGCTTTTTCTTTTATTTGGCGGGAGCGGCCCCGCCCCCCGAGCCGAGCGGCCGGATTGGCGGGCGACGGTTGCCGGGGCGACGCGCTCCGCCCGCGGTGACGCGCGCAGTGACGCGCGCGGGGGCGGGGCGTCGGAGCGCGCGCGCGTCCCCGTCCCCTCGGGCTCCCTCGGCGGCTCTCCGTCCTTGGCGGCGGCGGCGGCGGCGGGGCGAGGGGCGGCGGGCGAGGCGCGGGAACCACCCGGGCAGCATGGTGATGGCCGAGCCCCGGCGGTTCCCCCCGGCCGCCGCGCTGCTCCTGCAGCCGCCGCCGCCGGCCCAGCCTTCGCCCCGCGGCGCCTCGGTGCCGGTGCGCGTCGGCTTCTACGAGATCGAGGGCACGCTAGGCAAGGGCAACTTCGCCGTGGTCAAGCTGGGCCGGCACCGCATCACGCGCAGCGAGGTGAGAGGGCGGGGGTCGTGGGGACGGGGCGCCGGACAGACACGTGTATGTGTGTGGGGGGCGGGGGCGGTGCTCTCCCTGACTCACGTCCCCTAACCGGGGGGGGGGTGGAGCGTGAGAAGAGGGGAGCCCCATCCAGTTGGGGGCCCCCCGGTCTTAAACACCCCCCCCAAAACCGCCCCAGGGTTGAGACCTGAAATTAGAGGGGGGAGGTGAGGAAGGGATTCAGGCAGGGCATCCCCATGGCTTTGGGGGCGACCCACCGGGCGATGGTGTGACTTCCCCCCCCAAGTTGGGACTGCAGGGATGCTGTAGACAGGCAGGCCCTGCTGCCCACCTGGCCCTGGGCTGGGGGGGCAGGTGGGAGGATAGAAGGGTTCCCCCCCAGGAATGGGGGGGCAGTCTTTGGCTCAAGGGGCAAGAGAAAGAGCAGAGGGGCGTCTGTGGAGATTCATCCAGGCCATGGGGGTCCCGAAGGTCAAAACCCAAGAAAGTCCAGTTGCCTTTTGGAAAAACCACCTTCTGGATAGTGGGGGAGTGGATGGATGGATGGATAACCTTTATTGTCATTTTTTTTACTGTGGGCACAATGGCACACATTAAAAATGAAATTTCGTTGCTTGCTCTCAAAGTGTACATACACATAACACACATTTAAACATACTATATACAGACTATACATGCTATTGCAGACTCTGAAAGGGGGACACCCCCCTATGCAGGTTGCTTGGACATGTCCCCTGGTGCAGAGGTGCCCCCCCCACCCAAAGGTTTTGGGAGAAGAATCCTGAGTGGTGCCACTGGACTCCAGTGATGGCAAATGCCGCTTCAGATCTTCTCAGAAATCCCTGGGGATCCAGCTAGATGATATGGTCGTCCCAGGAGATTTCTCTCTGTGGAATAGATTCAAGGCGTCCCTCCGAAGTTAGAAGCGAGAGAAGACTGGCAGATTCAAACGTTGGCTTTTCTGCCCAGCCTTCTTTCCTGGGGAGTACAGGGAACCCTGTCGCAACTCTAAGCAGACCTGAGAAAGTTTATTTTTCTTCTTTATTGTTTAAGTTTTATTGTAATTTGGATGGTTGTGGGGTTATTGAGAGTTGGGGAGCGTACAAATGTAATGTATTGTTATGGCTGGTCAAATGTTCAGGCTGCATTTGGCATTTTTATCCACCTTTCCAGTCCTTCCCAAGGACCTGGGACGGGCTGAAGAGGTTGTGTGATGGTATCAAAGGTTTCGTTGCAGGATGTGAGCTGATCCAAAGTAGAGCTGCCTTTTGCAATTGATTGATGGAGATGTTGCCAATGCTGAAGGTATTCAAGGGTTGCTCCATTTGTTTGGGAATGCAGCCAAGGCACCTATCACTCCTGGCACTACCTCTTCTCTCTTACTATTGCTACTGTTGTTATTGTTGTTGTTTTTTAAAAAATAGTTGTGGCTTTTCAATGCTTGATGTGAAACCTGGAATGACATTTGAATTGGTGGGTGCTGCACTTGTAACGGGCTTTGGAAAGCTTTTTTTTTTTTTTTTGGAATGGTGCCTTCTGTGTTTCTTAAAAGGTAAATAATAAAATACAAGAGTCTACTCCCACTCCTGATCCTGAGAAATTAGCAGTAGATGGCGCAAAGAAAAACATGGAAGACTTCCAAAGATGATGTGAGGACCCCCTCAATGTGGCCCCTCCGGAAAAAGAGTAGGTTGCACCTCAGGAGAGGGTGTTCTTTGTGAAATTGGAGGATCCCTGATCTCTTTCCCCCATCTCTAAATAATTAGGATGTTCCCACAGGCTATAGATGAGTGGGAACAATGCTCTCTCATGGCAGCTGAATATATTTCAGAGACTTTGTGTACGGACATGACCAAAAGGAAAGTCCTCAGGAAGACATCCTTCAAAGATCAAAAGGCCTCCTCTTTGTTTGATTTCTGCATCTTCTTGGCCTCTCTTTCTGAAGAGCTCTATTAGGAAAAACCACTGTGAATGTATAGATACACCATCCAGGGATGGTTTCTAGTGAAGCCGCTATTCCAAACCCTTCAAAAGGAAGGAAGGAAAAGGGTAGAAGAGTGACAAGCTAAAGCATCCTCCCATGGAAGATCCACAGATATTGGGAAGCCTCAAACGGAGGTGATCCAGGATGTTCTTCAGAAGGTTATACTTTGAAAGAGTTTCTTCCAAAAAGGACAGAAGTGAGGAATCTTGGGGGGAATCAGAAATGATATTCTGGAGATGTGGTGGTGTTTTAGAATCAGCTGCCAAAAAGATGAAGGAAGGAACAACTGGAGAGCAATAGTTGTGAGAACGAGGTCATGGGTTGAGATGGAGAAAGCATCTTGATGTTTCTGAAAACGGGGTTCCTTGGGGGGGATCTTGAGATGAACCAGCTTGAAGGAAAATGGGATTAAGAGGGCCATGAGCTGGCAGGACCAGCCTCCGTGGTAGAATGGTGAAGAGTTATTTCCTTGCTCTTCAAAGAGATTTGGAATTAGGAATAAAGGGGTGGGGATTTATGATCCTTTTTGGAGAGGAAATTCAAGAAATCCGTTTGAGAAATGGGATAACTTCCAGGGCTGGGGGGGGGGGGAATAGGAAGGTGCTATAACTTTCTGAGGATTCAGTCAGAACAGAGCTGGAAGGGACCTTGGAGGTATTCCACCCCCTGCTCAAGCAGGAAACCATATATCATTTGAGACAAGTGGGTGTCCAGTCTCTCCTTAAAAACCTCCAGTGATGGAGTGTCCACGATTTCTGGAGCAAGCTGTTCCACTGGTTAATTGTTCTCATTGTCAGGAAGTTTCTCCTTAGTTCTAGGTTGCTTCTCTCTTTTGATTAGTTTCCATCCGTTGCTTCTTCTCTTGCCTTCTGGTGCTTTGGAAAATAAGTTGATAAATCTCATAACAAAAATAAGTTGAAAATAAATCTCATCCAGGAGATTTTTAACAACGACTTCAGCTTTGGAGATACAAGCAGATAACCACAAACCATGCAAGTTTTAAACTGCTAATCAGGCTCGTTTCCCCAGCAGTTTCTGTTTTCTGACTCCTCTTAGATGGCACAAATCCGCCTTTTCACTGCTGGGCCTTTGTCCTTGCAGCTTTCCTACCCCCCCCCCCCCAGTAGCTGAGAATACAATGGGATGCATAATTTCTCTCTTTTGCCATCCCAGCAAAGGAGATCAGCTAGTCTAGGCCTGTTCTAATCTTGCACCCTTTCTGTCTTTCTTTAGCTGATGATGTTTTCTTGTTTGGAAAGCAAGACGAAGGAAGGAGAACGAGACCAGCTTTTGACAAACTTCACTTTTTTTGTGTCTAGCAGGAAAATTCTCTGAAGGCATGCCCTGGGCCTAATCTGTAGACACATCTTCCAAGTGTGACTGTTGTACACTGCATGGATGGATTGTCTCAGCCAGCCCTTAACTGTTTGGACCAGCTGGGGAAGTAGCTTTGTGGTTCCACTCGTTAACTATCGTCAAAATCACACCTTGATCATGCTAATGGTGTGGTTTTCCGCAGAACGCAAAGCCCTTTCTCTGAAATTCGTCATCGGTAGAATAATTTTGCTTTTAAGGACCCCGTTTCAGAAATGCAGGCGGTTTGTTAAGTTCATTGTGAGGGTTTTGGGGGGCATACAGAGGTCATCCTCAACTTACAACAGCTCATTTAGTGACCAAAGTTACAACAGCACTGAAAAAAGGGACTTACGACCATTTTTCACACTTACGACCATTACAGCGTCCCCATGGTTACATGATCACAATTCAGACCCTTGGCAATTGGCTTATACTTACGACGGTTGCAATGTCCTGGGAATATGTGATCCCCTCTTGCGACCTTCTGACTGGCAAAGTCAATAGGGAAACTAGATTCCCTTAACAACCATGGTACTAATTTAACAACTGCAGTGATTCACTCAGCAACGGTGGCAAGAAAGGTCGTAAAACAGGGCAAAACTCACCTAACAAATGTCTCACTTAGCAACATAAATTTTATGTTTTATGTTTCTTGCCACCGTTGCTAAGTTAATCACTGCAGTTGTTAAGTTAGTCGAGAACTATCTGTAGTTTGCTGGATAAATAGGTGGCTGTGTTAAATAAACAAAGCAGTTGTATTAAATTGAGATATCCGGTGGGTTTTTAAAAATTCTCGAAGACAAATTAATGCTTTCTATATCAACACCCAAACAAAGATTGAGTAGATGCTGGTCAGTTTGTTGAAACTGATGGTATATAAGTTCTTTAAATAAATAATTACGTTTAAAATCCCGACAGCATCACTCCATTCGTGAGAACTCATATAGATATCTTTCCTCCATTCAGGAAAAAAATCGTGTCAAGAAAGAACAATTCTCTGGCATTTCCATGCAGTTTAATCAGGGCTTCCCTTTTAGGAGCTCTGGCAGTTAAATAGCAATTTGTGGCTGTGGTGCCTTTAGCCAAGGCATAAAGCTAATGAATAAATTGGTTTATAGCCTGTTGCTCTAGTGCAGGCCCCTAAAGCTGAATCCATCAGAGCTGAATATTTTTGGAAGAACAGAACAGGGAAGTTTTCCTACTGATTCTGTAGTCCTAAGGAGAGACTGTTCTCTCTCTCTCTGCTTGCCATGATGTTCCTTACTGTGATGTTCCTTCTGGGTCCATTGGTTCTTTAGAAATAAAGGATTCTTAAGTAGGGATTTTTTTTCTTCTTTCTGTTGGCATGCTTCGTTTCAAATGTTGAATTCCCACTCAAGTAGAATTTGAGCATTAAATCACACAACACTTTTAATTGCTCTGCCCGGAATGGAGCAGAGCTTACGTGGTGTTTAAAGTTACGCACTGCTTCATTTAGCCTTGTCTTATATACAAGAAGAATGTTGCTATGTCATCTTAAATAGTAGTCTGGGATGAGGTGGACCGAAATGAATTTTCATAAATGTTCTGGCCCACGTTTAACCCATGCAGTCAAGAAACAAAATTCAGAAACTTCTGTCTTTTGGCTTCCAGGGTTGGGAATTAACTATAGTTG